TTGTAGAGCAAGAAGACCGATCCAGACCGTTCAGCACAGAACAGTTCAGAATTCCATCCGTTCCTGTTGCCCGTGTGTAGAGTTACCCGTTGGACATCATAAACCCTCATTGAGGTAAAGTTCAGATTTGATTAGTCCTTCTTTATTACGTTTATTAACTCCTACACGTTGTGCTAGTCCTTGTTCTATAATTGAGGCTCTTTTCTAAGACAACCAATATGATTTAAGGTTTTTTATGTCACCTGTTGAAGTCCTACACCTGCCTGGTTTGTGTACGTTTGCTGACGGGCTCCAGTGACAGTACATCGAGCTGCTGTAGCCTGCTGTAGCTACCCCATTGCTATACACCGAAGCTCAGCCGGAGGAACTTCCGAGTAGTTTTCAAGTTCTTGTCAAGACATTACACAGTAGAGTAAGATCGTTTAGATATTAGTTAGATTTAGTTTGATATTTGTATTCCGCCCTTAGAGCATACTTAGTTTAAGTTAAGGGGGATGACGTCATAGATTTAGTTTTTATTGATTTAAATTCTGACTTAATATATTTCAATCATTTACTTTTATTCATTTCCATTTCTTTAAATATTAACTTTTAATATTTTAATAAATTACTTAAACATTTTTAGTAGTATTATTTGCAGTCTAGTCTAGTCTCTTTGCAGACCACCCGGCTGTTAAAATTAAAAAGCTAGTGGCCTCTATGTAACTCATTCAGATTAAGTAAACTTTGTGTTTTATTGAACTTCAAATTAGAAAAGGCGTGGCATTATGAAGAAACATTTTATATTTAAATTAACCTTTCACTTCAAAGAAGAAGGAAGGAGTATAATGCTATCCCTATATTCATGCATTAAAGACGGAATCAACATCAAGTAGGTAAGTAGAGTAGGAAAGCAAAGTTGCATGTAAGTGATCGTTAGTCGATTCGCTGCCTAATGAATACGCTGTGGTCTAACTTTTATTGGTGATACTATTTAGGTCCAGACTAACAGAATTTAAATTTCCCGCTGGGAATTCAGGTGGTAGCAATGACTAAAGAATACAAGGACATGTAACGCCCATATACGGGCTGCAGCAGAATTTGTTACGTTAGACACCATCATTTTGGAGCCTACGGATGAGTCACCACCTCGTCAACTGCGACAATTTTAGCGATTTTTTAAAAATTTGTTGTGTGTAGTGAACTTTGTATAAACTTTTTTACAATGGTGATGTGTTCAACTTTCAAGTAAAAGCCGCAACGATAAGAAAGAACCAGAAGTTGCGTTTCATAAGTAAATGTACAGTCCACTCCGCCTCTTTAGCGTTTTCTTGTTGAATTTGGCAATTATTTTTCTTATACTATATGTACTTGATATGCGCTATACGTCGATAATAGTTTTGCACCTTTTGTTAACATTTTAATACGTTTTTTTTCGTAATGAATTAGTATGATACCACCGTCTACACCATAGGCGTAGTCAAAACATTTATCAAAAATAATAAATATCCTTTCAAGCAGCTAAGTTAAGAAAAATATATCGCCCGGCACTGTTTGGAGCCGTGGTAACAATTTGGTCTCGGATGTTATATGTCCTTGTATTCTTTAGTCATTGGGTCGTAGCTTTGCTGTAAAAGTCAAGTTGCCACATTTATTTATTTATTTCTTGACATTGTCATTCGTTTGACACTTTAGTTTTGTATTAATAGGTTTTGGTTTAAATAAATTGTAATGTGATAATTTAAGCTTAAACATTTTTACCAGCAGGCCTTGTAGTCATACATTGTTCTTTTTAGAACATATTTGAGTGCATCTCATCGCAACATTATTAGAATATTTTGAACGGGAAAGCGGTAGTAGTGAACCTTTATATCCCTTAAGTGCTGTTAAGAAGGTAAGTTTTATTGAGGTAAATAATAACTGTTTAAACCGGGTGCGTCTCAAAAGTGGCTCACCCCTATAACTTTTATATTCATAAAAGTTATAGACGATAACGTTAACGATAGACGTTATATATAACGATAATATGAAACAATATGCATATCTCAATACAAAGAAAAAAAAATATCGATAAAACAATTACAACTGTTATTCTCAGACACGTTCATTCATGATACGGGCCTTGATCTGTTTTTTAAAAGAATGTGTTGACATAGCATATGTCATTCCATTCAGAATGCCCATTTCCTAATGAATAAAATAAAGATATACCAAGGGTGCCACTTAAAAATCAAAAGTTGATCTCAAAAATTCTTTTCAGATCAACTCTTTGACATATGCATATTGTTTCATATTATTGCTTTAACACCTAGTTGATTGCATGGAAGAGCAGCGTATGCTGAATGTCTCCAACTCTTTTACTGTATATATTCATTGTATACAACTTATAAATAAATAGAGGCACGTAATATTATTATTATTATCATATCATATGTCAACTTTTGACATTTTCGCTTAAAAAAATCGTATTTTAAATTTCAATCTAGAGTACCATGGATAGGTTAAAAACACTCATTTTTAATCAAGGAACCACCTTGGCAAAATAGATTTGATCGTCTAATGTTTTTCGTATTCTGTCCTGGTCAGTTAAAAGATGCTCAAATCGTATTTTTAATCATATCTGAATTTTTTCAGATGGAAACAAGGTGGCTCGTTAGAATATTCGGAAAAAGCATTTTTTACGAATAATTTGATATACACACTTGGTATTTCGAGTCAAAATATAGTTATGAACCGCATGTTACAATTTCAAATAAACTATATGCGAAAATGTTAAAAGTTGACTAAGTATGTTAGTGATACTAATATACAAAATCACGTTTTTTTAGGCGTGAGCCACTTTTGAGACGCATCCGGTATATTTATAATTAATTTATTTTTTGGTTTCCTAAAATATCTTGATGAAAAGAAAATATGTAAAAATGGACAACGGCTGTGCCAATCAAGTTTACGTAACGTTTATAGTAACAAGATCAAGTCTACGTTATGTTTATAGTTATCATGTGACGTTTATTTTAAAGTTCAATCTCATACCACCTAAGTTTTTTTATTCTTTCAATTGAAAAATATTTTTTATTCATTATCCACTCAGCCAAACAAAAAGTATAACTGTAAATATAATCATCTTAAAAACTATACCATTATGAATGATCAAGGATTAATACGTAAAAAAATAACTATCTGGCCCCTAGCATCTTAGGACATTTCAAATTTCAGAATGGATATCTTATAATTTATCTGACAAGTTATTTGTATCATTTATAAATTTCTTAAAAAACCTTTACGATAGAAAATCCTCTAGCCAAGGTATTAAGAGATTTAATCCATGATTTTTATCATCCTATTGTGTCGATTATTTCGGAACCCATTAAAAACGTACTTTCTTAGATCTCATAGAAGAAAAATCATCCATTAAGAATTTAGAAGTTATAATAAGTAACTGTAGAAAAATAACTATTGATTATTAAATTAGTTTATTCACATGATCGGAACAGATGTTATACAGGGTGTTTATAAAATGCCGGAGTCACGTTTTATAAGCGGGTGTTATAGTTGAAAAATCTGCGTAAATCGCAACCTCGTATATTGAAACATACTTTTCATTACGAAAATTATACAGGGCGAGTTTTAAATAATTCAAATATTTTAGAGGGGTAGATTTTAACCCTAAAAACAGGTCTGTGAGTTTTTTTTTTCGTAAAAATATTGAAAATTTTGTATTGTTCGTAATTTGTTTTGGAAAATTTTTAATTATATAAACAGGGTGAGTCTTAGATAAGTGCAAATATTTTAGAGGTAGTGATTTTTTTTCGCGAAAAAAACAACATACAAATTTGATTTTTTTTTAAATTTTTAGTTAAAACCATAATATTTTCATATTTTGGCAACATATATAATAGATTAAATTTACAAGAAAGAAAACCCAGAAAAGATCCAGTGGTTCGCAAAATTTAAGAGAAAAATATATTTTTTTTAATTTTCAAAGTACAATATCCCGGTTATTTTGGACTTATTTGAAAAACTATAAAGAGAAAATACGTTTCTATTATCATGATCTACCAGCCCTGTATTTATTTAAGACTCACCCTGTATAATAAACCCATATACCGTGAGCAAACCCTTTTAGCTTTTTCTTTCAACACCCATCGGAATATTATCAAAGGGTTTTAAAAATTGTACCTTTTTGGAGGTGTATTCTAATCTATTTACTAATTTCACCGGCTCCCGTAGTATAACAGAAGAAGCTAATATTATCAAAAAAGGAACAAAAAGTTCTCAAATATCTTTTTCGGGCATTCTTACACAATTTAGTCATTCAGTATTGGTGTTGAAACTGTCTCCTAAACATGTTTTTTAATAGATAACTGTGAGTAATAAATTAAAACACAGGAAAGTACAGAGATAAAGGTCTAAGTAAAAAAGTGATACAATAATTTGTCACGGAGTTTTATCAAAATAGATGCACTTAGGTGAGAGAATTTATATTATAGGGAAAATGTTCTTGATAAGCGTAAAAAAGAAAGTTTTAGAAACCTTTAGATGATATCTGGTTTTAATAGAGTTATCGAGTTCTTTAATGAATTGTAGGATGGATCATCAAGAGCTTTTTTTATTCGATTTAATAATATTTATCAAACCTGAATAACACTGGTTAGCATTTCAAATTTTTAATACTATTCATTCAGTCTTAGCGAGGCTAAAACCAAGAAAGGGGGTTTTGTGAAAGATATTTTTATTTATTAGTTTTTACAGCTACAATAAAGATTTTAACCTCTCCAAATTAAGTTCATGTCCATAAAATTATTATTATAACCAAAAATTGATAAAAATGTTATAAAAAAGAGAGAGGGTGTCCCCCCGAAAATGGTGGTTGGTAGAAGAAAATGGGAGATTTGAATTGATGGCGTGGTTTTACATAAAATCAACAGGAATCGTGCCAAAGCTCGAGAATTTTTTTGTAGAGCAGTGTAATTTACAATTTTAGGTTTGGGATTTAAAACAAAACGCTTTTTCAAATTTAATTATTTATTATCCGAATCTTCGTTCCAAGGTTGTACTTTACCAGAACCAAATATAGCAAAAACTAAAGATGTTATTATGTTGGAAGATGCTACGATAATAAATATGGTTCTCCATTGCGTAGGATCACTCTGTAAGAAAAAACAAATAATGAAAAAAATATCTATACAAAATTCTAATAACAGCCCACAAATCGGTGGAAAAATACCTACAGTTTTGAAAATTGTTAAATAACATTTTTATCATTTTTTTGGGTGAATATCAGAAAATATGCCACCTACAGATATGTCAGTGCTAACAGAAAAATGACACAATTTCTCATATTGTACTTTTGGCATTTAAAATCAATTTAAAGGCCAAAATTAACCTGTAACATTATTAAGGATGATATTGAGCCACTAGAGATCTTTATTACACTCGACATAACACTAACTGCGTAGTTTGGAGACCATAAGTCCGGGAACAAAAATTTTTATATAGAATTTTGCCAACTATATTTTTGTGTAGTATTTTTTAATAGATATCAGAGTTTCCGAAATACAGGGTGAGTGTCCTACGTTGTTCTCTATGGGTATCTCGGAAACTACTGGAGATAGAGAGTCGATTATGGGAAAAGAATTGCAGTTTTGTGGGGTCATAAATATGCGCCTTTTAGATTTTTGAGAAAGTTCATAGCTGACTAGATATTTCGAAAAAAATTACAGATAAAATTGTAGATAATCACATCCCTAATGAGTTTGTGTTCCTCAACTTTTTTCTAAAGCCTGTTATTTTTGCCTTATGACACAAGCATATGTTTTATTTTAAATGGAAACTATAGTTGGCTATGACTTCATAAAAAGCGCTTTTTTTAAGCTTTTCAGTGATATAAGCTATAATATGTTTTTTTTCAAAAAATTATTGAGTTATAGCAAAGAATATCTTAATATCCTAGAAGTCTCGTCTGGCATCAAAATCTGACCTGTCGGCCCCAACTTCGTGGAGCCTCGCTATTTTGCTCGGAATTTGGTTATAGCCAATTCTTATCTTTCTTTCGCCATGGAAACAAGTTCAATCGTCGTTGCTCTCAGAAATGTAAAGCTGTCACATCCAAACTTTGTAAATTAAAATAAACAAAAATTGTAAATATGAAATTTTCAAATAAAGAAAAGCGTGTAGGATTATTGGTTCAAATTTTTTTGCCCATACAGTTTCGAGGCCGGTGAACGTTTTTTACGTTTTTTAGTGAACGATTTTCACGACATGTTAGAAAAGTTAAATTTAGATACTCGCGCATTAATAGAGTGGTTCCAACATGACTTTCATTATGACACACCACCCCCCCCCCCACAATGAAAGAAATGTTAAAAAGTATTTATATCATAATTGTGTAGACTCGGGGATAGAAAGAGGTGGACCAATTATTGCGTGGGCCTCCTCGATCACCTGACCTATCTATTTTAGATTTTTTTATGCGGTATGGTTAACAACAATGTTTACAAAAGAGTTTGTGAATTAAGAAGGCACTCGAAGAGGCGGTACAGGAAAAGTTTAATTAAGTAGATCGGTCATTCTGTGAGAAAGCTAGAAATTCAGTTTTAAAAAGATGCATTTATGTATCTACTTAAAACGATGGCAGATTTTTTAACATTTTGTAAGATAACTTAAAGTGTATGTAGTGATTTTATTTTTTTTTTAATTTTACTTTGTGTAATGTAAATTGTAAAGAGCCGTTTAATAAAATATTTTGTCTTCTTATAACTTATAAATCATAACAATAAGCTTAAAAAATGGCGCTTTTTATAAAGTCATGGCCAACTATGGTTTCCATTTAAAAAACATAATATGTTTGTGTCATATGTCAAAAATGACAGGCTTTAGAAAAAATTGAAGAACACAAACTCATTAGGGATGTGATTATCTACAACTTTTATCTGAAAACTTTTTGTCTAAAGTAGATTATAATGGAATTAGAGACAATTTTTAAAATAGCCAAATTTGTTTTTTTTTCGAAATATGTAGTAAGCTATGAACTTTTTCAAAAATATAAAAGGCGCATATTTATGACCCCACAAAACTGCAATTCTTTCCCCATTTAACCGACTCTCTATCTCCAGTAGTTTCCGAGATACCTATAGAGAACGTCCTAGGAAACTCACCCTGTATAAGCAAAAAAGTGAAAAAATTTGCATTAAACTACGCACTTCCATGCTCGAGCCCATCATCTATCTTAGGTCACTTTTGACACATATCAGCCCAAGTCTAGAGGAACCGTTTAAAGCCATTTTCAAAACGATAGAACTTTCTTTTACTGATTGGTCTTTTTTAATTAATTTTACTGGGGTATATCTAGTAGCACAATAAAAAATAATTATACTAACTTCATTTGTAACGACCAAATGGACAATAAGTGGAGCAAAAATGGAGGCAATATTAGAGAAGCCATTTGTAATTCCCACTAAGGTTCCGGCATGATTAGGTGATAGATCCATGTGGTTTACTGACCAGCCACAAACACATAGTGCACTTGCCGCAACAGCTGTTATGAGAAGGGCAACAGCATCAGTCACTTGGTCTGGAGTGGTATATCCCAAAAATACCAAAGCTATTGCAGAAAGTACCATACCTAAAAACGAAGTAATTCTGTGAACAAACATTATATATTTATCTTTTTATTCTAATTCTATTTACCAGAGGTGTTAAACAATTTTCTGCAAGTAGTTACTTTAAAAATTTTCTTGTTATACAGATAATCCGAGATATAACTGAAAAAGAATCCGAGGATCCAGAATGTTAGGTATGGGAGTGCTGACAGTGCACTGTTCTAAAAAGTGAAAAAAATTGTATTTTGTAAAGGTTTTTAAAGTAGACTTTTACTGACTGAAAATGAAAATAAATATATTATGTTTTTTTTTCTGTAATTACTAAATTTTACTTACAATTATATATAACAAAAACCTTTAATATAATATTTTCTTCCTGCATTGATTATAAAAAATGCTGATGACCTTTACACTTTTGTTGTGATTTCATGGTTCATCTACTTACATCTTTAATGTTAAAATTCATTACATGACTAATATAACTGGGAATTTGAGTCAATAACGTCCAGAAGCAATAGTTGTAACCACACTGGGTTATAAAAAGAGCCCATAAAGGTACAGAGGTAAATATTTCTTTCCAAGGGACACAATGGCTCTAAAACAAAGTTGTCTACAAAGTCTTCTTTTTGGTAGTTTTCTTACAAATATTACTTTTTTTTCGTCGTCATGTCCTAGACTACCTTCAATATAGAATTTTTCTGCTTGGCTTATGCTTAGATGTTCTGCTGGACTATCATAAGCAAATACAGCAAATAAAATGCAAGCAAACATGCCTAGCACACCGTAAATGTAAAATACCATAGGCCATCCATACCAACTAGCTGAGATTATACCCGTTATGTACATAGAAGTTACAGTACCAAACATTGAACCTGAAAGTAATTAGAATTCAGATTATGAATTAAATATGAAAAATTTATACTATGTATACAGGGTTGTTCACCACATACGACACGGAGTATTGTAGCTAAACGATGAGATTTTTACAAATTGTAAGTTTGGGGTTCGTTGAAGGACTATTAGAGCTACAATTTAAAAATATTTTTACAAGATTCAGAGTGTCCCAAATAAATAAAAAATATCAAAGTTGTATTTTTTTAAATGGAACACCCTGTATATTATTACATTTTTAGTTTCTACGATTAAAATAAAGGTAAATTTGATTACGGTTTATTATACTTAAACCTTACCGTTTTTGAAATATTTTCAATTTTGTGAAATTGCAGTAAAAATTTTAAGGCTTCATTTCTCCAAGGGTATCAATGTTTTTAATACTAAATATTTAATGAAGTTTATTTATTGATCAGTTATTGTGTTGCAATAATAAAAATAATACTACCTTATACAGAGTGTCTAAAAACTTATTTTAAATAATTATTAGCTTCAAACGGCAATAACTTCTTTAATTTAAATGGAATGCCCTGTAGAGAATCAGATGCACAATTAAATTGTCTATCAAATTGTATTATACCATTTTTTACCTATCCCTTCAAGTTTTCGTAGAAAATGCATTTTCTTATAATTTAGACCTCATTTATCAATATATCCATGGAATATTGACATTTTAGATTGTTTTTAAAGCAACAAATGTACAAAATGTACAGACTAGTAATATTATCGTTTTTAGCAAAACGATAATATTACTAGCCCATTTGTATGCAAAAAGAAAACTATTTAAATCTTTATAAAAGAGTATTTAAATATAACACCATTATTTCCGCCCATATACTAATTAATTACATACTTAATTGTGTTGGTTAATAAATTATTATAAATAAATGTGGATTTGAGTCAGAAATCAATATAATAATAAGTTATCAAATTAAAGTCTCTGTTGTTATAAATAAGCATTTATTAAAAAATGAAATATCATTTTTAAGGTGTTACTTTTTATCACACTGTCTAATGCCCATACAAAATTCAGTTTTTTAGTATTTGGAGCAATTATTATTAATCAACGCAAACAGTCAGTTAATGTAGTTTGAATACTGGAATCATATTAATTGATCCTCTTTAACAAATATTTTAAACAGTTTTCTTTTATTTTTTAATGAAATAAACGAATTATATTGACAATATTAGTATCTGTACTCTTTAAAAATTTGGTACATCTTTAAAAATAATCTAAAATGTCAATAGTCCATGGGTATATTGATAAATAAGTTCTAAATTACAAGAAAATGCATTTTCTACGGAAACTTAAAGAGATAGGTAAAAAATGGTATAATATAATTTGATAGACAATTAAATTGTGCATCTCATTCTCGTAAAATATACAGGGTGTTCCATTTAAATTAAAGAAGTTATTGCCGTTTAAAGCTAATAATTATTTAAAATAAATTTTTAGACACTCTGTATAAGGTAGTATTATTTTTATTATTGCAACACAATAACTGATCAGTAAATAAACTTCAGTAAATATTTAGTATTAAAAACTTTGATACCCTTGGAGAAATGAAGCCTTAATATTTTTACTGCAATTTCACAAAATTGAAAATATTTCAAAAACGGTAAGGTTTAAGTATAATAAACCTTAATCAACTTTACCTTTATTTTAATCGTAGAAACTAAAAATGTAATAATATACAGGGTGTTCCATTTAAAAAAATACAACTTTGATATTTTTTACTTACTTGGGACACTCTGTAACTTGTAAAATTATTTTTAAATTGTACCTCTAATAGTCCTTCATCGAACCCAAACCTTACAATTTGTAAAAATCTCATCGTTTAGCTACAATACTCCGTGTCGTATATTGTGAACAACCCTGTATAAGTTTATAAGTATTGTTAGGTTCATCTAGTATCACAGTTCATAAATCTTTACCTCCCATTGCAACACTGAATAGTCTCGATCTCTCTTGAACTGGTACCCATTGGCATAGAAAATGAATTAAGCATGGCATCAAAAAACCTTGGCTAAGACCCTGTAGAGCTCTGCTTGCCATTAAACCTTTGGAACCAAATTTGTCTGATGTGACAGGTATTAAAATACCTAAAATTGATTGGGTGCCTATTGAGCCAAAAAGAATCCATTTTGCTCCAAATGTATTTGCTGCCCAGCCGGCAAAAATTTGGGGTATTATGTAACCCCAAAAGAATGCCGAAAGAATCACACTTTTATCATTCCACTGATACGTCTAAAAATTAATGTTTATTATAAATTCCAATCTTTACAGTATGAATGTCATGTTTATACAGATTTTCGAGACAAATACTGTTAATGGTGGACGAATTATGTAGAATGTTTTATTTTACTGTACTGTTTGGATAAAGCCTATGCTCCTAAATAATTGAATATTTTTTAATCCGCTTTTGTATGCTTTGTTTACTATTGTATTTACTGTTGGAAACATAAAAATAATTAAATTTACAACTCACTGGAATATCAGGATTTTTACTAGCTGTTGAATCTGTCATTGCCACGATAGCTACAGACAATGCGATTCTAAAGCCAAAAGCAGTAAATACTAAGAAAGAACTTAGCAGAACTTGAACATGTCTGACACCAACTATCGGCACTGAAATAAATTCAATATATATTATTTTTAATAAAATAAACTATTTTTATCTGATATACCTTTTCCTTCACTCTGTATATTTGTACCAACTTCCATATATTCGACAAATTTTAAACTATGTACATTCACTTTAGACATGGTATATTTCGTGAATGAAAGGAGCAAATAGAGGAAGAACTGTTTCTTAAAGAGTATAAAGAAAAACTAACTGTGATACAAAAAAAATATATTGTTATTATTTTTAATGTTTACAAAAAGATATGTAATTACTATGATATTACAAGAACTAAAAAATATTATCTGTAGAGAGTAGACACTTTTATAGTATAATAGATCTTATAGATATTAAGAAGGCAATTCATGCCCATGCTGTAGACTACGATAAATTCAATGTCATTATTACTGTTAGGATATAAAATAAATAAAAAAATAATTTATGTTTCTTCAACTAGATAACTTGGTAGTGATGAGGCGGTTTTGGCTCTGAATTTGCTCATCACTAACTTCTAGCTTTATACGCGTTCGTTCTGATTTTGCTAATTCCAGTGTTGCACCTTGCCAGATCCAAAAATGTTAAAAATCATCGCAGCGCAAATGTTAAATCCAGCCGCCAGGAAGAATATTATTCGCCATTCTGCCGGGTTTTTCTGGAAGGAAAAAAATTAAGAATTTTAAGCCTAATTATGCATGAAACGAAAAAATAACTTACTTCGTCCGTTATAAGGATTTGTGCACTTAACGGAGCAATAATAGAAAATATGTTAGAGAGTGCATTAATGAGCCCCATCAGCAATCCCGCATAGTTGGGTGATAAATCCATATGGTTCAATGCCCAACCTAGGTTGCTTACGGACAGAAATCCTACGGAAGCGACTAGGAGACATACGGCCTGAATTGTTTGGTCAGCTTTCGTATACCCCAGTAAAATTAATGCTGCCGAAGGAACAAATAAACCTGTAATAAAGGAATACCTATATTAACTAGGTTACTAATTGAAAGGGATGCGTGTCTAGATAGAACACTAATCTCTACTGGCCTCAATATTGGGGACCAGGGGCAACCCATTCTACTCTCGTCTCCCTTACGTCTATCGTTCTGATCATTGAAAACTCAGAATGGGAGGCTTAAAAAACGAAATACCTAGACTGTAATCGCCTGTAATTCAAATATTTCAAATTGATAATCACATTTGAGTAACACTTGGCTAATATTTTGCACATTTAAACATAACTTGTTTACGGCCTCTTTTTCTAAATATTTTGATTATTTTTTGAGTTTCTATTCACAGTTTCTACTGGACTTTGTGCTTTTATTTAACCTGCAGTACTAATTATACATTTATAAATAATCTTCACCGATTTAGTACTCGTCCACAAACAGATGTTTGTAAAAAGGTCTTAATTATTTTTAGAAGAAAGAAACACTTCTGGCTTTCCTGACAGGAGTGTGAACACAAATTTAATAAAGGTATATGTAATATGGATAATGTTCTGATTATTACAGTTTGCATGGATGACTATTCTTGTATGTTGTTATTTTTAATAAAGTAGATCTATTTAATGAGATTTGAGTATTTACTTTTCCCTCGGACTATTGTGTTTTAATCTTTATATATAAATTTTCATAAATTATATCTACAAAATTTCTTACCTTAAAACATTTTGCTAAAGACTTTGTAGTTGATACAGTGTAACAGTATATATGAAGAACTATTAAAATAAGACTTTTAATAAAATATATAGCTGTTTTTTCACAATTATCAATTCAATTTGTGATTAAATTTACTGAAATAAAAACATAAATTAAGGGAAATGGGACGATCTATCAACTATAACATGAAACCCATTATCCTCTCCTAGCCTTCGACAATTAATTGTTATCGTCAAAACATGAAAACAAAAATTCACTTCCTATAGCTCTTACGTTTCTTTAAATGAGATATAAGAAATAGGGGCGTTAATATCACATCTATAAAATACCTTTAAGTAAAATCTTTTGAGATCTGCTATAAAATGCCTTTATTCTTATTTAAATAAATTGAATGATCTATGTTTTTATTTATGACAACCACCTAATAACCTAACTTTATCGTCAACTTGACAATCCTGAAAAATGTTATTGATAACCAAAAAGCAAATAAAGTTATAAATTCAGAAACGCTAACTTATATTTCATTAAAAAAAATATCAATTTTCACAACTAGGTCGGGCATATTCAGAAACTTTTCGGTTATAACAAGTATACATGTGAGGTTCCGTAAAAGTGGACCGACTGACCCTTGCGGTGTAGCACCACCTTTGCCAGAACTACAATGCAAGGGCATCGATTTGGCGAGTCATCAGCTCGAAGAAGGAGAGCCACGGTGAGGTCCTCATAATAGGAATTGACCTCAAATTCAAGGAGACAATAGAGAAAGAGAGATATATCCTCTATTATAGATCCAGGAAAACACCGGTATCAGGTCTAAGGAGAGACCAAGTTAAAGCGGTGGAGAAAATGGAGACAGATCCTCCAGCCTCCACCTCACGGGTACCTCACCCGGAGACAAGCTCCTTGACTGTGAAAGGCACGGAGGTCTAAACCCCAACCGTGGAAGGGTGTATACCCTCGTAGGAGGTAGATGCCCACTCCTCGTAGGATGACAGATCCTCCAGCCTCCACCTCATGGGTACCTCACCCGGAGACAAGCTCCTTGACTGTGAAAGGCACGGAGGTCTAAACCCCAACCGTGGAAGGGTGTATACCCTCGTAGGAGGTAGATGCCCACTCCTCGGAGGATGAGCATTTGTTGTCAAAAGAGGAAATACCTTTCCCCTATAACAAGAAGATCCCCATTTATGGTAAGTTATAGACTGTAAGATGAAGTAATGTTTTATTTTGCTGATATAATATATCTTTTTTCCGAACGTCACAAAAGTATTAATTTTTGTGACATGATTGACAATATAAAAACGTAATTTTAACGCCTAGGCATAAAAGTAAAGCAATTTTACACCTAAGCGGAAAAGTCCGAAAATATTTATTATTAAACTGACATAAAGTATCAAATTCATCGAGCGTAACTAAATAACTGATAGACCCTTATGGAAGCAGAATACTTAAACCATTGCTTCTCATTACATTACTTACCTATTGAACTAAATATTTTTCGTGCAGCTCCCGGACTAACAATTTTCTTATTAATTATATAATCAGAAACGAAGCTCATTGTTTGTCCCAAAATCCAAAAACTCAAATAAGGCAACGACGACAATAAACTATTCTGTAAATTAAAATAAATAAAATTTACCCATAATTCATTATGCTCTCTTATCTCGCGTGTATATGCTAGACCTAGCAATTTATTACTTACGTCTTTTATATTAAAATCCATTACTTTGTTCAGATAGGTTGGAATCTGTGTAAAAAGAATCGCAAATGCAAAAACGCAGCCCGTTTGGGCAGCAGCTAGCGCCCAGACAGGTCTGGAAGTTATTATTGACATCCAGGGTACCTTGTTTGACTAAAATAGTGCCGATATTAGTTTGGAAATGTATAGATATATTATGTATTAATTTGTTAGTGATAATTCTGTAAGTTTAAAATTGTACGGCCTGCTAAAATAGTATATAAAATAATAGTAGGTAGCACATTCATATTTTATTGTCCAGGGTGTCCCATTTTCGTGTGTTTTACAGGGTTTCTCGTTTATAAATAAAGGTACAAAGATGACGGTTTTCACATTAGTTTCCTACTTTTTCATGAAACAAGAACTACTACACACAGATTTTTCCTAGTCTTCTTAATTCCGGAAATACAGGGCGCCAATGAAATTGTTGAATTTTCCAACTCCTTTTATACCTCAGTTATCTGATCGAAAACTGTGAAGCTTATCGAAAAACTAAAAGCTGGATATTATGGAGTTTTTTACGCTGGATTTAGTGGCGTAACTAAGTTTTTCTACGACTAGCCTAGAAAATGCAGTTTGACACACGGAAAACTCGATCTAAAATAGGCGTTTTGCAAACTGTTGTGTGCTAAGGAGTTATCGCACGACATGTGTCATTTTGCACACGACATGTGCCAATTTTAACATTTTTAACCTCCAATGTTTAGCTGAAACGCCAAACGCAACTCAGCCGTCAGAAAAGTGTCATCCATTACATCGCAAATTATTTCACAAAACTGGCAAAAACTGAGTGAGTCTGCTGCTAATTTGTAGTCGTAGAAAAAATAGCGTAAAAAACTCTTTCGAAAACTTCTTTGTACACTCGTTCGACTTGTATCAACAATCTGTCGAACTCGTGTGCAAGGCGTCGTTTTCGACAGATTTCAGCAAAAAATGTCTTACCCCCTAGATTCTACATGACAAATTCTAAGGGACACAGTTTTCACTTTTTCGATAAGTTATAACCAATATAAGAAGGGATAAAAAATGAGAATTTTTAAAATTTCCTCAGTATTTCAGGAATCAAGAGGACTAGGGCAAATCTGTGAGTAGCATCTTTAGTTTTACAAAAAAAAAGTAGCACGGTGATGTGAAAATCGCATTTTTCTATCTCTACCCATAAACGGCATACTCCATAAAACACAGAAAAATGGGACACCCTGTACTTAAAGACGATTCAAAATTTTTAGTAATAATTTTGATAAGTTGGTCAATTCTTGGCAAATTACAGAATTCTACACTACCAACATAAAACACAATATAAATATCAACAACAGACCTTGAATGACCTAAACTATTTCTGATGTATTCTTTCTCCTCTGTACTAATAGATGGATGTTCCAGAGGTGTATTGTATGCAAGAAAACTATACAGCACTGTCCATATTAAACCTAAACTACCATATAGATAAAATATCATAGGCCAGCCGTACCAACTGCCAGCAATAACACCGGATGCTATTATGCCCACTACTGTTCCTGAAGGTATAGCTACAATAATATTTGATTATATTACTTCAAAGCCTTATAACTTAACGCAAATCTCCACACCTCCGTAACAGAACATCGATATTCTTGATCTTTCTTCTTTAGGTATCCATTGGCTAAGAAAATAAGTCAAACAAGGTACAAAAAATCCTTGGCAAAAACCTTGCAAAGCACGGTTTATTATTAAACCAGTTGAGCCAAATTTTGCAGCTGTTAGGGGTAGAAATAACCCTAGAATACTGTGAATGCCCATTGTGCCAACCAAAAACCATTTTGGTCCAAATCTACTTGCTACATATCCGGCCATAACTTGTGGTAAAACATAACCCCAAAAAAATGCTGATAAGATTACTCCTTTATTAGTCCAATTGGTGTACGTCTAAAACGTAAAAAATGTACTCATATAGGAATTTTGGTTGTTTCCTGTGTATATACTGGCACGTCCGGATTTCTGCTTGCTTCTGGATCTGTCATGGCAACAATGGATACAGACAAACTAACTCTAAATCCAAAAGCAACGAACAGTAAGATAAAGTACAGCATTGCTTGGTAATGTCGAATACCTACTCTACCAACTAGAATAAAAATAAAATAGTTATGTTTTATAACAGTTACACTATTAGCCTAAGAGCTGACGACATATTTAGAGAATATATTTTAGGCAAGTTAGAATAACTAAAAATGTATAGTTTATTAACTGGTGAACCCAGAATGGCTGGGGGGTTGGGGGTATTTCACTACTGCGCAACCCATAACATTTGCAAAAAAATAAATCCAAAAAACATTCTTTAGGCAACTTGAAATTTGTTTATTCTTAAATTTTAGCATCTATTTAACCTAGAAATATGTATGCCAGACTTTTTTTTGGGTTTAAAGTGTAACCCGACCATTCCAAATATGTTTAATTATTATACCTGGAAAACATACTTTAGGCATTCTAAAATTTTTACAGCGTGTTTATTAGATGATATTAAAAAACATGTGTTAATTGCCAGACGAATTCAATGGGATTTAATACTTGCCAGACGCGAATAAAGATTTTAAATAAGCGCGATAAGAAACTCTTATGAGTATCTATAAGCGCGAGAGAGTTTATTGAGACCCGGTCGGCAGCCGATGCGGCTGACGTAACAGCATTTTGGAGTCGTAAAAACTTAAAAAAAAACTAACTAATATTGAATAAATAAAAAGAAACATTTTTTAATAAAAATGTATGATTGAAATCCTTTCAATAAGAAGACTTTTTAATTTTAGTATTTTGTATCTGAAAGAATAAAAAGACGAATAATTATTTAAAAATTAGCATAATATAAAATATATTTTTTTCAAACGTCACAAAAGTATAACTATTATTATGCTTTTGTGACATATTATATTATTTTTGCGACCTGATAGATAGACAATATAAAAAAGTCATTTTAACGCCTAAGCATAAAAGTAAAGCACTTTTACTTACTTTTGAATCTATTTAGAAAGATGGTTTTTTTGAATCTATTTAGAAAAATGGTACTTTAATAAAATTCCAGAATACTTATTTTTTTAGCACTGTACATGGTACCCTTTTGTCGGGACTACGTTTTCTGGTAAAACCACTTCTTTAAATTTTAAACAATGTTGTTGGCGCACTTTTAAAAATTCTTTGCATTTTTGTAGTCTGCCTTCATCAAAAAGAACTTTGTCATAGTAACTTTTTTACAATCTACACAACTTAAATGTTTTTTATCCATTGTGATTTAGTAGTTAGTAGCGAAATTAGTTACTAAAATATTTATTTGCAGTAATTATTCTAAACTATTTACACTATGCACGTCAATATTTAATTTATAAATACATATTTGTACATGGTAACTTAATTCCAACAAAATAATCTCTGAATTAAAAGCCTGCAAATAATTGAAATGAAACCGAAAAAAAATTGTTTTTATGAAAATTTGAAGTACTCCAAAATACTGTTACGTCAGCCGCATCGGCTGCCGATGGGTCTCAATAAACTATCTTTCTCGTGCTTATAGATACTCATAAGACTTTTTTGTCGCGCTCGTTTAAAATCTTTATTCGCATCTGGCAAGTATTAAATCCCATTGAATTCGTCTGGCAATTAACACATATTTTTTTATATCATCTAATAAACACGCTGTAAAAATTTTAGAATGTCTAAAGTATGTTTTTCAGGTGTAATAAGTAAACATATTTGGAATGGTCTGGTTACACTTTAAACCCGAAAAAAAAGTCTCGCACACTTATTTCTAGGTTAAATAGATGCTAAAATTTAAGAATAAACAAATTTCAAGTTGCCTAAAGAATGTTTTTTGGATTTATTTTTTTGCAAATGTTATGGGTTGCGCAGTAGCGAAATACCACCAACCCCCCAGCCAGACTTAGGATTCTGGGTTCACAAGTTATTAAACTTTATTTTTTTTGTTATTCTCACTTGCCTAAAATATGTTCTCTAAATATGTCGCCAGCTTTCCGGCTATATTATTAATAGTCCAACATACCTGCCGAATCAGTTTTTTCAATTCCATCTGTAATAACCGTATATAATACTTCTTTCCTTTCAACATCTTCTGAGTTCTTCATTGTACCAGTATCTACTCACGGTTTTTTTATATGTATTGAAATTTGCAGTTTCAGAACATCTTATAAGTAGGGGTTATTATTTATAGCACTTTTTCAAGTAAAGCTTATCTTCTCGCAATTAAAATAAAAATAATAGGAACTAACAACTTTGTCAATATATAAAAACTAAATCAAATACCCAAAAAGTTTTGTGTTTGTGTTATTCTTTTGATAAAGAGTATGATTGCAGTTTTCTAATTTCCTACATAAACAATGCATAATGAAAGGTTTAGCTAATTTAAATCCCATATAAATAATTAAGATAATATATGGGATTGATAGTTTTACCTAGTTTCATCCATATTTTCGTGCATTTACAAGATGTGTTAGTCCCAAAAGTTTCATATTAAATTATTTATTACACAAGTCACTTTTTTTGAAAACGCTTGTTTCTAAATTTCGATTACTAGTGGATCATCTCAGGTAAAATAAATTATAGGGAGTGATGCCATGTAGTAATGCTAATAAAAATATTTTATGTATCTATTATTTTGTAATGAAAAAGGGTCCCGAAAATTTCGAATAAAATGGTAGGAATATTTTTAAATTTCTAGTTTACCATGAAAAGAAATACTGCACGTTTTCTGTTTTACTTCTTTAAACATTCTGAACTAATACCATAAATTAAAAACCGAACTGAAGTTAGAATTTTCTCATAAATATTTTCATTGTTATTATCTAAACAATCTTATAAGTACTTAGTTAACATAACTAAATCATTATTTAACATAAATTATCTCTAAAAAAATTGAAACTCATGCTGTTGTACTTTCTTTACCAAAATAATATTTTAAATTTATTATTGTGATAATATACACGGGTTTCTTAGATTTTAGATTATATGTTATCTTTTAATATAAAAATTTAAACACCAAACTACTAACAATAGCTAAATGTCATTATTTCTTGCAAGAAAAATATAACACAATATAGATAATGCATGTTTATAATCATTGATAGAATTACTTCATAAAGGTACCTGCTGCATCTATCTAAATTATTCTCAGCGTTACAGCATAGTCGCTTCGTTTGAAAGTAACGTATTTATTGAATTAGTAATCCGGTATTTCACCATAATACACACCAAAGCACTTCACTTTCAAGACGCGCGCGCGTTTCGCTAACCATGTTAGCATCATCAGTAGATGATTAAAAGTAAACTGTTACCTGCAAGCGTTTATGCCGGGTGCGTCTCAAAAGTGGCTCACCCCTATAACTTTTTTTTCTTTTTTTTATTTTTTCAGTTAAAAAAAGCGAGATTTGGTATGATAGTATATGGCATAAATTAGGATTGATTGATGTATTTAGTTGTTTTTGGTCACTTCCTGTTTCACCGAAAATTACTACAACTTTTGATTTTTAAATGGCACCCTAGGTATTTTTTTAGTGTATTCGCTAGAAAATGACATTCTGAATAGAATGACATATTCAACTTTTGACATTGTCGCTTAATAAAAAATCGTATTTTAAATTTCAATCTAGAGTGCCATAGCTATGTTAAAAACACAAATTTTTATTCAAGGAGCCTTTCAAAATAGATTTGATACTCTAATGTTTTTAGTATCATGTCTTGACCTGTTAAAAGATGCCCAAATCGTATTTTTAATCATATCTTTTTTTTTTCAAATGGAACGAGGGTGGCTCATTGGCATATTTGGAAAAAAACATTTTTTTTACGAATAATTTAATACCACTTCAAATAAACCATAGGCGCAAATGTCAAAAGTTGACATATGATATATCATTCTATTCAGATTGTCATTTTCTATCGAATAAAGTAAAAAAATACCGTGGGTACCATTTAAAAATCAAAAGTTGTAGTCATTTCCGGTGAAACAGGAGGTGACCGAAAACAAATGAATACGTCAATCAGTCCTAGTTTATGTCATATACTAAAATACAAAATCACGATTTTTTAACTGAAAAAGTAAAAAAGCTATAAGGGTGAGCCACTTTTGAGGCGCACCCGGTATAGGGTGAGTCTTAAAAAAATGCAAATATTTTTAGAGGTAGTATATTTCGACAGCAGAAACACTAGAGACTCAGAGATTACTGATTTATAGATAATTCTTACTGACTAGATATCCGATCTCATTAGTCTTCTAAGTGGTGTGAATGAGAGACTCAATAGATTTTACACTCTCTTCGAAACAACAACACGACCAAATTCTCGTCCCGCCTAACGTCGCTTAACTTCGTATATCGATCCGAAACCTGTGTTTCGACGTAATTGAATACTTTAGTCATTAAAAGAATTACCTATCTTCAAATATTACTATAGTTTTTAACTTGACTTATTTACTAGTATCTAGGGTATATCGTTCGTTAGCCAAATATTATTTTTTATTTAACAATTTTGCGAAACTTTTACTATCATAAGAATATTTGCCAAAAACTTACTTAAAGCGAACAATAATGAGAATTTTCGTAATAACCTCTAAGCTTATAAAACATGACGCAACAGAAATAAGGAACTTAATTTTTTTAATATATTTAATACATACATATGTTTAATGAAGATAAAATAACAACGTCAAAGTAAATTAACGTTAGTATTTAAGCGAGGCAGCTTATTTTAGGCAGTTTGCTTTATAAAGCAAGTGGTTTTACTTATAATAACAATTATTCCCCAATGCGATAAAAATGAATATTTTGAACAGAATCAAATTATTATATTAGGATTAAACATCAATATGAACAAAATGGACTATACGAGTACAAGGTAAAAATTTATTCCAAATTAATACAGTTTTACAAGAAGAAACGATGTGGATTTTGTCGTTCAGTGAATAAGTTAGTTAATATTAGTAGTAAGTACTGTTGGCTAAAAGGTTTTCAGATTATTTAGGAATAATAATTTAGACTGTTTTATAAATAAATGTGAAAAATATACACGATTGATGAAACTAGATTTTTAAATGAAACATAATTGATCCAGTTTTTTATAAAAAAAGCTAAGTAAAAAAGGCAATTGAGCAAATAATAGTGGTTGATAGTATAAGTTCAAACCACTATTACCTTTAAAAACTGTTGGTTTTATTTACAGCAGACAAGAAAAATTCTATTATGTTAAAACTGTCCAGACCTAATGAAAAATATATTAACAACAAAAACAGCATAGATTATATGGTTCATATTAGCATCTTATATTTTAATTTATTTCTGTTAAATGTGATAAAGACTGTGACAGAACTTATGAAATTTCATAAAGAGTCTTTTAAATGAATGAGATTTTTTTAATACCTTGTTGAAATAAAGTTTAGTGTTAATATGGGTTATTAAATTACGATAAGAGAAGTGGGTCCCCCTGTTAGATCTAGTTTTGGGTAGAGATTTTAGTATGTACAAAGTGTACAATCATTATATTCAGGTCAATAAGATGAGAACAATTACAAGATCGAAAAAAAGGAGTCAAAGACAAATGGAGAATGACGATCGATGAAATTTTGGCAAGGTCAATCTCTAGACATCGTTTACTAAAAATTGACACAAAACTTGTCAGTAATTAAAACTTATACAGAGGATAATGAAAAATTAAAAAAGGATAGAACGTTTTCAGACACACAAATCTATTTCCAAAAAAACATGTTCTTTTAAAAATCATTTTTACTAAATATAAAAATAAATTACAACCTTCTTAAGGCCCACTGACAGTAGGCGCCATTAAAAAATAAGGAAGAGTACGTGCTAAGTTTATATTATTATATTACTAGCTAAAATTATTATCAATTGTCATTCCCAAGCCCCCCCGTATCGTATAATATATAATATTTCCCAAGCGTATGAAATATAGTGTCAAATTAAGTGACTCCCTCCGACTTACAAGCTCGCCATAGCCATTGCCTAAACATGTAAATCCCGACCCAAGACTGTCTCTTTCCGATATGGTATATAACGTATTGGCATGAAAAGAAATTTTACCTATCTAAATTAGACTTATTTCTTTTAGGCATTTCTTCAAACTCAGGAGACTTTTAGTGATCTTTTAGTATTGTTGAAATACCAAAGGATGCGCCCAATAAGACATTTTATGAGCGTAAAATGCAAAAGCAATATATTTTCTGCGTCTAAAGGATGAAACAATGTTATCAAACAAACAAACAGACCGTCATAACTCTTAATACGTAAGAAAATATTACCCATTATGTTTTACCTTACTTACATATTAAATATAGGTTATATTAACAATCTACAGACAACCACAATATTATTTTACATGAAGGTCAGAAGAACTAAAACGCGGTCATCAGCCGAAAGAGATTGTAAAAGAATCTATGATTTAGTCAATCGAAATCTTTCGACTGAGTAAGTTCAAAAGAATCAATATTTTAGAATTATTAATTATATTGTTTTAATATTTTTCAGGCTGACACATATATAGAAAAGTTAAGTTTGTTTTGGAATAAATAAGTACCTAAGTACCATTCCCCATTGGATTCTAGAGTTCACTGAAAGGCAAGATTTTTTTATCACGGAAATATGGCACCAGAGACAAGATTTAAGAAAAAGAGTCAAAGAAACCTACGTAAGAGAATTATGAGATATGCACTCAAACGGTTTTCAAAGTTTTTTCCAGAAAGTAATTATTCTATTCCGCCAGTTTTATTATCCTGAAAATAAAGTTATTCATAAACCTCAATCATATACTCGATGCTATGTAATACAAAAGCTATATATACTCTATAATAAACATTATTAAAGTTATTAGTTTTTTTCTCTCTTACTAAGTCTTATAGTATTGGTAGTCAAGAAAAAAGATAGTTAAGTATATCTAAATATAAAATAGTCACATGATGATGTAGTTGCCAATATTTTAAATAATCTTCTAACTAGTTTAGTCTCATCATCAGATCGTGGAATTCACCAGGGCAGAGACAGGTGAAAAATGGTAGAACATTCGCCAACCAAACCAAACCAAACATTCAACAAAACCGAGGCAAAAAGTCAGAGCTGTAGTGGATCTACTACCATCTAAATATAACGGGATTGACGGACGAAGTACAGGTTCTGTCAATATGCAGAAGAAACGACAGAACACATATTAGTTAGAACAATTAGTTTAATATTAGTTAACAATAATTGCAGCAAATTGCTGAAAGCTCGTAAGTTAGGTCAGGGCTCGAAAAGCCCCATCTTTTCATGATATTTTGACGACGTTTTCTGCACTATGAAAGTCCATCATCAACGTCAAAAAAATCTTCCAATTTAAATGAAATAAAACAATCTAACGACACACAAAAGTGTGTAGTTAGATTGGAACAAAGCCAACTTGACCGTGTACTACACATGTCACTGCGACAGTTAGTTTTGACGTAGAAACGTCAAAAGTTGATGTCGGCCGATCGCGACCAAATTTGGTGGGTAGGCTATATGAGCGACGGTGCACACGGTCCAACCCTGCAAAGTTGGATACGTCATTTCGTTTACATCTTTATCAGGATGGGACTAAAGAATATTGAACAAAAATGTGGGTCGATTTCGGCATAATTGGGGAGGGGCTACAGGATGACGCCCTCGACGTTTCGAACCCATACTTCTAAGTGGACGAAATCATCAGGATTTTGGCACGTGGATAGAGGGATCCGAATGGAGTCTTCAAACGAAGAGACGGGCGAATGGCCATACGGACATAAGAATAGGCAGACAGACGGACATTTTAATACAAATTTTGTGAAAGTGAATCAAATAATTTATTAAATTTAATTTATTAATAGATGTTAGTAAGAAGTATCAGTTCAAATACACAATTTTTTTTTAATTTTACGGGGGTAATCTGAGAAGTCCTCATATTCGAAGGCGAAAAGCAACTTTGAACGAACAGCTTTGTTCAGCTACCTTTACAAAATTTTGCCAATAGTTTCTCTATTACCAATTTGATGCAAATTGAAAACTATGGTGGCCTACCAAGAGCTTCACCACGCATTTAAAGTAAATGAAAGCTGTATCATGTATGACGGTGTCACTTCCTATTAGTAAATGACATAATGGCATAATCTCACCACATCTTATATCAATACTAATTGACTTAGATCCTTACATTAGTATATCTGCTTAAAAATCTAATTAGAAAATCGTTTGAATCTAATACAATAAGCATCAAACCAACTGCTTAAACAATAATATCAGTCCTATCAATATTCAACTTGTACAGGGTGTCCCTTTTTGGTGAATTTTATGGTGTTTCTCTTTTAGGAGTAAAGCTTCATTCAGAACCTCGCAATTAGTGGAATAAATTAGTGGTCAAATTAGCGTAGATGTTTGTTCCTCTAACTTGAACGTAAGCATTCAGAACATCAAAATTAGTGGTAGGAATTTTCAATTAGTAGAAAAAGTTAACAAACTTTTTACTTTTCCACTAATTATACTTCAAAATTTGCGAGGAATTTCATTTTGGCCTTTGATTATCATTCGTCAACAGAAAATGTTGTTCCTCTTCTTCTTTTTCTTTTAAAAGGCGTATCGCCTGTTTAGTTCCGGTTTCCTCCTCGTCTAAGCAACTCTTGCGAGGTTGACTGCCAACTGTCTTGCCAACGTTTAGGTGGTCGTCCAGTAGGTCTTCTGCCATGGGGTACGTTGTTGCGAATTATTATGGCCATTCTGTCGGGGCCCATTCTATTGACATGCTGGTTCCATCTCTTCTTCTCTGCCTTATCCATCTGACAACGTCGTTTGTTTGGCACTTTTCTCTTATGTCTACATTTCTCTGTCTGTCCCTCAATGTGTATCCAGTTATCATTCTTAAGGTCTTCATTTCAGTAGTTCGTAGGATTCTCTTTGTTACTGATGTTTCAGCTCTGGTTTCCGCACCATATGTCATCACTGGTCGTATGCAGGTTTTGTATATTCTTGACTTACATTCTGTACTCAAATGTTTGTTTTTCCATATGGGATATTTAAGATGTCCTGATATTGCGGCAGCTTTATTGGCTTGTTTCCTTACTTCTTCTTCCAGGAATCCTGAGCTTGTAATTTTGCATCCGAGGTATTCGAATGACATTATCTGATCAATAGTTTTGTTTTTTATTACCAATTTGCACCGTAGAGGCTCCTTTGTAATGGTCATGCATTTGGTCTTATTTGTGGAAATTTGCATGTTAAGTTTTTCTGCCTGTCTGTTAAAAGCTTGTAGCATTCTTTGGAGGTCGTCCTCTGACTCTGCAATAAGTACTGCGTCATCGGCATAGCATAATATGTTTACTTTATGCATTCCCATTCGATATCCTAATCCAGTATTCTTGACGGTTTTTATTACTTGATCCATGATTGTGTTGAATAACAGAGGGCTGAGACTGTCGCCTTGGCGAATACCAGTTGTAATTCGAAGATGCTGCGTTAAGGTAAAGTTTGTTCTTATTTGGGTTGTTGTGTTTGTGTTTAAGTCCTTGATAAGTTCTGTGAGTTCTTTCGAGACATTACTGCTTTCCAAGATGGTGATGATGTCTTTTAGTTGGACTCTATCAAAGGCCTTTGTTAAATCTATAAAACATAGATAGGCTGGAAAGTTATATTCTACGGATTTTTCAACTAGTTGCCTGAGTATGGATAGTGCATCGGTAGTTGATCGGTTTCTTCGGAATACTTGTTGTTCCTCGCTTATTGGCACTATTAAGGAGATTTTGTCCCCAATGATCTTAGTCAGAAGTTTTAGCGAGGTGCTCAGTAATGCTATTCCTCTATAGTTTGCTGGGTCTGTTTTATCTCCCTTTTTAAAAATTGGTATTGTTATACTTTGTTTCCATTCTTCTGGTATTTTCTTATGTTGTAATATAATGTTAAACAGTTTTGCGTATTCCTCTATGATAGCCGTGCCTGCGGTTTTTATTAGCTCGTTTGGTATTTTATCTTGATTAGGAGATTTTCTATTTTTAATTTCCTTATTGTCTCTTCTACTTGCTTGTAAGTGATTTGCACATGATCTTCTATATTATCTCTTGGGCTTGTCTCTTGTGCTTCCATTGGTTCATCTGTTTCTGCGTATAAGTCTCTGAAATATTTTTCCCACGTATCTTCTGCAATTGTTCTTAGTTGTATTGTTTCATTTGTTTCTCGTTTCAAACCCCTCAACATCTTCCAAATAAGTTTTGGAAGAGTTTTTTTTTTGGATTCGTTTGGTTCGGAAAATGTTGTTGAAAAAACAAAAAGTTTATTGTTTTATAAGCTTAATATTAGATTTTCTCTATGGATACAACTGATTACTGCAAGCTGTTGCTAGGATATTCTATTAATTTTAATTGTGTTTTTTAGACATTGTGAATGATCGTAAACTTAAAAGTATAAGGTGTAATTGGAACCACTAATTTATGCAACTAATTGCGAGGTTCTGAATGAAGCTTTAAGATACAAAGATGCGGTGTGCACATCAATGTACGTACTTTTTATAAAACTGAAAATGTTACACCAAGCCCACGCCCTCTTGATTTTGAAATACAAACTTGAACTTGAAATATTTTGTTGTTGCATCGTATCTCAGTTAACTTCTCGGGCCCCATAGACTTTTTTTACGCAGAAATCGGTGGTTTAAATTGATTTTCGCTGGGTGCTGTCTTACTTGAAATATACCAAGATAACCAAGATATGAGAGGTGTCGAAAAATGCAAACCTTTCAAATTCTCCTCATATTTCAGGAACTAAATATCTAGGACAAATTTATGTGTAGCATCCTTAGTTTCATAAAAATGTAGCACAGTGATGTGAATACCGCATCTTTGTATCTCTCTGTACACTAAAACTTAATTGAGTAACACGCGATTAACAGTAACATAACAAATATTTATTTATAATTGTAATAATGTTATTAAGTAAGTAATACTGGATTTTTTCAAGTTAATACCAATGGAAAATTTTACAGAATAGTACAGAGGTACAAAGTGTCTCAAAAGTAACAGAAATATGTTTAATATTAATAAATTTGAAAATAAAATACTATTTAGGTGATAACCACTTTCTGAGCACTTTTAATCCTTTTGAAACCGTTGAGGTTCTGTTAGTTCCTTTTATTCTCTTTATTTATTGTTTCTGAAGACGCGACATATAGGAGATATAGGAGTTCAGAGAATACCAGAAAAATGCAGATTGAGTAGAGAATAAGAAAAAAGGAGAGGAAGTGAAAAGAAGCTGCGTATATCACTACAACTTGGATAACTTTAACTAAATCAGCATATACAGTGCTTTTATTTTAGCTGTGAACATAAAGCTAATATAGCGCAATAATGATATTCTGCTTTGTTTATTTATAAATTCAATGCTGATAGATTTGAATGAATAGTCTGCAATCAACAATAACTACGCTATAAAAAAATAAATGTTTGGTTTTACCAATAATTTATTTTGATTAATTAAAAATAGCTCTTGCTCCAGAATTGCGAAAAATACTAATTTTAGATGAAAAAATATCTTCAATTTTATTTCATGTTCATTCATTTTTTGGTGAAACAACTGTATGACCTTTCAATATAGTCAATGGATGATAAAATAATGATTATGACACTGACAACAGAGAGTGATTTAGAAATTACGATGATTAATGGGGCCTATGTTAACAAGTTAAAATAAAAGCACTATATATATTTCCATTATCTGGGGACAACTTATATTATGAGAAAAATAAATACAAAATACAAACTAAAATAGCGTAATGGGTTACTGCGATATACTTACTAAATCAGATTGGATTATTGAGGTGGATATCAGTCTACTCCACTACATCCTTTCATTTATTGCAGTCCTCTTCTCCAATCTCTAATTTATATCTATCTCTAATTCTCTATATCTATCTCTAATTTACATTTTCCGCTCCAATCCTTTTCCAAAAGTCTACCAAACTGGAGTTTAAATTATCCATATAACTCATTGTCTATGGCCTATCATTGCCTAATATAAAGATATTGCACATTTTCCAGGTTGTCGCACTCACATAAAATGGATTCTGTCATTTCTCCTTCAGATTGACAAAATCCGCACATGGTGTCATCCGTCAATCCCATCAGCTCTTGATACCTATTAAGTTTACAATACTATGCTGGTTATATCCACTGGTAAAGGTATGTTGATTGACGTTGGAAATCAGTGTTTTTCATTTTAATAGTTACATATTTGAAAAAATATCGGACATCACTAAATTCTCATCTTCATCATAGTTTACTAGTGTGTTAGAAAAATATTTCTGCCAAATAATTTAGAGACCTTGTTACATTAAAAGCAATACATTTAATCTTTTCAATATTCTGGTTATTTTTTTAAGCAGAAAAAAAATGAAATACTAGTATTTAAAAAGACTTAGATGTCTTAAGATATTTGCATTTATTAGAGACACGTTATAAAATTTTGATTTGTTCCAAAAAGCACGCCCTTGCCTTAATGAACAATGAAATATGTAATATTTGTATTTGTCGTAAAATTGCGTTAAATGTCATAAATGGTCCTATTAATCCTTCTACACACAGAAAACGTAGTACACAATAAGGAATTGCGCTCTACGTATATAGACAACTATTTTTAGGTTTATTTAAAAATGCGGTTTGCTTAACTCCACATTATACGGTTCTGAAACTGCAAACGAGCTACATTACAGAACTACACCTTAGGCATTTCTACTAAACATGTCGAAGAGGGTAGTCGATGCTCACGATGAATATTTTGATGCAGAAGCAAATCAAAAGTTAGTGTACCAAATAGAGAATGGAGATGAATCGCTCGCAAAATCTCGTAAGTGGTACCTATTGTACTGCCATAGATTGGTATATTCATTTATTGCAGTGTTTGACAATAAATGTTTTAAAAGAAAATATTATGAATCTAAAATTCTATAAATTTAAACGATGTTTCCTTTTGATCAAACATTTGTTTGACTTTTAGTGCCTTCCTTTGGTATTCGCCATTTTCAAGTGTTCATTTACTTTACTCTTGGATTCTTGGCGTTTGGGTTTAGAGTTACTTTGTCGATTGCAATAGTGGCAATGACTGACCCTATGGTCAGCAGTAATCCGGATATTCCAGTAAGTATTGTTTTGTTTTCAGAATAATAATTTAGGATTACTTACATTAAAATACATATATTTTTTAGAATAATTATTTATACCAGGTGAGACTTAAATAAATACAAATAGTTTTAGGGTTAGTATCTTTCGACCCCAGAAATGATTTTTTGGCAATGTGGCAAAATAGGTTAAATTTACAAGAAAGAAAACCTAGAAATGATTCAGTGGTTCTCAACATTTAAGCAAAAAACTTTTTTTTTTAATTTTTAAAAGAAAATAACTCGGTTATTTTGGACTTATTTGAAAAACGGTAAAGAAAAAATATGTTTATTTTATCGAGATCTACCAGCTCCGAAAATATTTGTACCTATTTCAGACTCACCCTGTATATATATTTTTAGAATAATTTTCGATTGTCAATTCTACTTTTAACTCATATTTTTTATTTGTAGACATATTCTGAATGGACCAACAAAAACGTAATTTTATCATCCTTCTTTTGGGGTTATATCATGCCGCAGTTATTTGCTGCCTGGATGGCTAAAAAGTTTGGCCCTAAATGGTTTCTTATTGGAAGTACAGTTATTCAGTCCATTTTATGTAAGAAAAATAACTTAAATTCAAATTTCAATATGTACTTTAGATACCAATATTAGCTAGCAAATACAGGGTGTTCCGAACTGTATTCCGGAAACTTCAACATCATATTCTGCAAATAAAAACAATTCAAAAAGTTCGTATAAATGTATGTCCTAAAATGCTTAGTTTCGAAGATACAGGGGGTAGAAGTTTCATTTTTATTTCGATTTTTTCCATATAATTTTTGCAGTAACGTCAATATCTGGATGAAAATTGGTGTCTGGAAGTTTTTTGTCATGAGAAATTTGATTTCTATGTCAATATGACTCCTATTTGTAGGGGGCGCCACCTACCTGTGTTTTAACAATTTTGAAGGGCAATAACTTTTCGTTCGTACCTGTATAAAACTACTGAGTAAAAAAATATACATTTTTGTAACTTTTTACGTAAAAAATGTCTCTTGGTAAATATCGCTACGAGCAATCGTTTTCAAGATATTTAGAATGGAAATAGTCAATACATGTCATTATTGACAAAAAATAAACACGTTAACACAACGTTGAGTAGATCGTCGAAAAATTGATGATAAAACAGCTTCTGTTGAACTTTTGGCACAAAAGAAAAATTAAAATTTATTATTTTAGTCTAATAACTATTTAGTCAGCATGCATGTTTAATTTATGTCAACAGGTAATAAATTCGATTCCAAATATCTCGAGAACCATTACTCGTAGCGATTTTTACCAAGAGACCTTTTTTACGTAAAAAACGTCGTAAATGTATATTTTTTTATGCAGTAGTTTTATACAGGTACGGACGAAAAGTTACTACTCTTCAAACCAGTTAAAAAATACGTAGGTGGCGCCCTCTACAAGTAGGAGTCATATTGACATCAAAATCAAATTTCTCATGTCAAATATCTCCCAGACACCAATTTTCATCAAAATATTGAAGTTACTTCAGAAATTATTTGGAAAAAATCGAAATAAAAATGAAACTTCTACACCCTACATCTCCGAAACTAAGCATTTTAGGACATACATCTTATACGAACTTTTTTACCTATTTTTATCTGCGGAATATGCTGCCGTAGTTTCCGGAATAGAGTTCGGACCACTCTGTATATTAAGATATAACATTATACAGCTCTTAACATTTTTAGATATTACTACTGCCGTACACAGCCGCTCGTTTTGGGTCCACTGGAGTTATAGTAAGTCGGATTTTCCAAGGATTATCACAAGGTTTTATATTTCCCTCTTTTGCTTATCTTCTTTGCCAATGGGCGCCTATAGAAGAAAGATCTAGGCTAGGATCAACTGTATTTGCTTGTAAACTACTAAACCAGAAAGTTGTTGTTTATTAATAATATTTACAATCTTATATTTTTAGCTGGAAAACTTGGGACAGTATTTGCAATGTTCTTAACTGGAACAATTTCTGCCAGCAAATTTGGCTGGCCTCTGGTATTTTACGTGTTTGGTGGCTTAGGTTTGTTGTGGTGTATTTTAATGGTTTTCTTTGGTTACGACTCGCCTGGTGTTCACCCAACAATTAGTGCACAGGAAAAAAAGTTTATCGAAGGAAGTTTAGGAAAGAGTGAAGATAATAAAGTAAATACCGTCTTAATACAAATGTTAGTAAATAATTAATGTAAATATTTCGATTGTAGCATGACAAGACTCCTTGGAAAAAGATATTAACCTCAAGGCATGTCTGGGCACTTCTATTAGCACAAACTGGAAACAACTATTGCTTCTGGACACTAGTGATGCAAATCCCAACTTATATGAACTACGTAATGCATTTCAACATGAAAAAAGTTAGTAGTGTCAAAACTGTTCGCGTCGTAGACTTATATACTTATTATCATTTCAGAACAGTTTGCTCTCTTCTTTACCATATTTGGCATTGTGGGTCTTAAGTAATGTGTTTGGCGTTATTTCTGATGCTGTAGTAAACAGAGGAATTGTAAAACGAGGTGCTGCTAGAAAATTATTTACATCAATTGGTAGAAATAATATGTCATTAAAAAACGTAACACATAATAGTATATTCATTTTAGGACTAATGATACCAGCTGCAGCATTAATTTATTTAGGATATACGGATTCTAGTCAGCCATTGCAAGCCGTGGTACTTCTAGTTGTAGCTGTAGGATTTAATGCAGCCTGTTTTTGTGGATTTACTATTAACCATATGGATCTCTCTCCCAATCATGCCGGCAGTCTGATGGGTCTTTGTAATGCATTCTCTCAAATTGCTGGTGCTGCAGCACCATTAGTAGTACAATTGATAGTGAAAAATGAGGTATGTATATACTTATTCATACTTTAGAAATATACGGGGTGTAAAAAAAGATGGTGTACCAAATTTCAATCGGTAAAAAATTTCTACAGATAAAATTACCAAGTTCTACAGAGCAAAATAAATTATAAAATTCCTATGAACATATGCCCTAAGATGCTTTCTAAGGAATTTATAATCCTTGAATGCCTTTACAGCCCTTACCCTTTTACATCATATATTTATACTTTATTTATATACAGAGTGGCCCATCGAAAACGTTCCGCAAGGCATAACGGCCAGGATATTTTTTTTCAAAAAATCCAAAAACACGTCAATTTTGTTTGTGAGGGGGGCAACTTTTGCCCCCAAAATGATTGCAAAATCTTCAACCCTCTAAGCGGGTGTGTCATCCCCCAATTTTTTTCAAATGGGAAGGGGTGTCAAGTGGTACCACAATGAAAAGGGCTTTTTATTCTCTATACTTTCCCGCTTGGTTTTTGAAAATCGGTCGAGTCATTGAGATAATAAGGATAAATTCCTTCGACCAATTTGCTGTTTTTTCTTATTATTTCTAGATGTTTATGCATTTTTTCACTTGCCACAAGGTTAAACGATCAGGTGCGGCAGTTGCTAGATAGCTGTTCTGTGACTTGTGCGTTGAAGTTCTTCTCAATATCGTTAAACTGACCCAAAACAGAATTTCCAAAAATACCAGCCCACACGTTCAATTTCTGAGGGTTTTGTGTGTGCACCTCGTGAAAAACCCCTCAGCCCAGTACCGACAGTTATGCCGATTAACTACAGTGTTCAAAAAAAAAGTACACTCATCCGAAAAACACACATTAAATAGGAAATTATTATCATTCGCCACTCGTTCACTCACAGTTTCACAAAATTGCAAGCGACGATCAAAATCGTCTTCGTTGAGTTCTTGTACCAACTGAATTTTGTACGGGTGGAACTTGTGTTTTTTTAATATCCTTTGGACACTGGTACGATTCACGCCGGCTAATTTTGCATTAGCTAATTTTCTTGTACTCAGCGTACTATCCATGGCAACTTGGCCCAATACGAATACCTCCATAGCTTCATTTACTACAGGGTTTTCCCTTTTTATTTTGCTACTAACTCGCGAACAATTTTGCCATAAAGGTGTTTTTCAGGATGGCATTCACTGAATATCTGCGGAACCCGATTGCTACATTCATTATTTTTAAAATAAAGTTCGATTATTTCCACTTTTTCTGCAAGTGAGTACACCATAATTGTTAGTTTAACGATATTTAGAAGAACTTCAACGCACAAGTCACAGAACAGCTATCTAGCAACTGCCGCACTTGATCGTTCAACCTTGTGGCAAGTGAAAAAATGCGTAAACATCTAGAAATAATAAGAAAAAACAGCAAATTGGTCGAAGAAATTTATCCTTATTATCTCAATGACTCGACCGATTTTCGAAAACGAAGCGGGAAAGTGTAGAGAATAAAAAGCCCTTTTCATTACGGTACCCCTTGACCCCCCTTTCCATTTGAAAAAAGTTGGGGGATGACACCCCTGCTTAGAGGGTTGAAGATTTTGCAATCATTTTTGGGGCAAAAGTCACAGGCCCCTCACAAACAAAATTGACGTGTTTTTGAATTTTCTGAAAAAAAATACCCTGGCCGTTATGCCTTGCGGAACGTTTTCGATGGGCCACCCTGTATATATATTTATACTTTAAAAAATAGCATACATGGTAGCGCTGCTCACGATAAAAAGAATATACAGGGTGTCCCAATATTCCGTGAACATAAAACTACTACGTATTTTTGGAATCAAAATAAGGTCATTGGACACAATTTACCTCTGTACGAAAGTACTTCGTTTGTCCGCTAGAGGGCATCAAACTTTAAAAAAATAAACACATTTCTTTCAGATATTTTAAAAGTCGTTATTCCGATTTGAATGAGTTTTTGGGTGACTAGGTTTTGCTAAGTCTTAACATTTGACTTTCACAAAAATCAAGAAAAAAGTACGGGAAGGGTGAAAAGTGCCCCCACCCCTACATAAATTTCAGTATAAATATTTTCCAACTCCACCAACGACAGATTTTCTTTTCGGAAAATGGCTCATCTAGTATTTACTGTATTTTTCTTATCTCTAAACCAAGAGACAAAAAATATAGCAAATACTAAAAGACCATTTTATGAAAAAAAAAAATCGGTCGGATGTTGAGTTAGAAAATATTTATACTAAAATTTATGTAGGGGTGGGGGTAGTTTTCACTTTTCTAGTACATTTTCTGGATTTTGATGAACACCAAATGTTAAAGCACAACACCAAACGAAGCACTTTTGTATAGGAGTAAATTGTATCTATTTAACTTATTTTGATTCGCCAAAAATACGTAGTAATTCTATGTCCACGTAATATTGGAATACCCTGTATATTTTCATTTTCTGTTTTTCAAATAAGATTAAAATATATTATACAGGGTGAGTTTTCTACTATGTTCTCTATGGGTATCTCGGAAACTACTGGAATTGCAGTTTTGTGGGGTCATAAATATGCGCCTTTCAGATTTTTGAAAAAGTTCATGGCTTACTAGATATTTTGAAAAAAAAAACAAATTCCGGCTATTTTATAAATGGTCGCTAATTCCATTATAATCTATTTTAAACAAAAACATTTTAGATAAAAGTTGTAGATAATCACATCTAAATGATACTGTTTTCTCCGTTTCTCTCTAAAGCCTGTCATTTTTGACATATGACACAAACTTATGTTTTTTGAAATGAAAACCATAGATGGCCATGACTTCATAAAAAGCGCCATTTTTTAAGCTTTTCAGCGATATAAGTTATAATTTCTATTATAAAAAGCAAATAAAATTTTAAAAAATAAAAAAAAAATATTTGCATTTACTTAAGAATCACCCTGTATAATTTCTAACGTATCGCCAACCTGTAGAAAGTAGTTCAATGTCGAAATTATGTATTTTTAGAGTGATGTATTTCAATGGCGTAACGTGTTCTTCTTATCAGCGGGAATAAATGTTTTTACTTCTGTTGTATTTATAATTTTTGGTTCTGGAAGTGTGCAGTCATGGGATAAAGAAGAAGATAATAAAGATGAGGATTAGATTATTCCCATCAAACATTCCAACACCGTGCTTTAAATTAATATATTCTAACAATTCAGTTGACTGTGCTGTTATTTGGTGAAACTCCATAATGAAACGGATAAGATAAAACAAATGTTTAATAAAAAAATGTTTGTGCACTATGTGCGCATATTTGAAGCAAAACTTCTTACTAAGGCCGGTGTTTCACTATAAAATTTCTTTGTCAAAGATCTTTTGTAAAAGATATTTGATGAAAAATTTGACAGTATAATAAGGCTATTATTACACTATCAACATTCTTTGTCAAAGATTTTATTTGGTAAATGAATTTGACATGTATGATTTTATAAAATATTGTAGTAAATCTGTCAAATTTCTCATCAAATATCTTTTATAACGACAAAGACATTTTATAGTGCAATAGCCGCCTAATATGCAATATTTTATAAAATATTGTATACCTATTACACCATAATTTTTTTCATCAAAGACCTTTCATAAATGATCATTGACAAAGAATATAGTCTACCGGTCTGAAAGCTATTAAATTGAAGGATTTGAAGGACATGTTTGAAAAAGTGTATAGTTTAAAACCAAATCAAAAAGTAACAAATTAATAAATAATTTGATTCATTTTTACAAAATTTGTATTAAAATGACCGTCTCTCCGTTTGTATTGTGTAGTAATATACTAGTCACTACGTATTTCTAAGTCGTAGGCTGTTCTTACCACTTTGCGTCTCGCGTTGGTGTGTCACGACCTTGAATTTATACTCCCAGTGCCCTTTAAGAAGTTTCACTTAAACAACCGCTTCAATATAGTGGGATTTAATAAACATTTGTTTTATTTTTCGTTTAATTTATAGTATATTTTAAAAGCTGTTCTAGTTACAAAATGCTGTGATATATAATTAAAGTATAATGCAGTTTTTTTTTATAATTTAAGTCTTTCAAATGTCCAAGTCTCCTCTCTTATTAGCTTTCTTATAAAATAGTTAGTATAAGAAAGATTTGTGTGAATATTTATGCTACTATGAAGTTCTAATAAACTTATAGAATAACATGCTTCTAGTATATTTATATTTCGTAACAATGCTCCTATATTAAAATAAGTAGTATTATCAAAATTTAATAAATAAGCTTTGTAATTCAGCAATAAATAGTCATAAACATAAAACCTTTTCATTTATATCAACCCTAACTATTAATGTTCCATTAGTATTGGTTCCTAAACCAACTCCTTATTTGTACTCTATTATTATTAATTACCTTTAGAAGAAAATTAATGTAGTAGTTTCTCCAGGGTGGTTATTCTTAGAACTGAGGGAGATTCCAGAATACCAAAGAGAAAGTGCTTCCACTGGGATTTTTCGAGAGAACAAACATGGAGAACGCCTGTTGACATTTATAGCCTCAGTCTAGAGTATAATTTGTACAGAGCTTACGTGATGTTTCTATATTTTTTTGATATTAATTGTGGTTTTGTGATTGTTTTTAATAAAAATACCACGAATTTTATTAAGATATATAGTGAATTTTAGTAGACAGTAGTATCGAAAGACTAGTGAGAAAGAAAATCTAGGAACTAGTGGGATTGCAGTCGGAAGGGAACTTTCTTGAAATAGAAATAATACACTTTGTTAATTATCAAGCTTTCGGAATTTATTTATTCCTTCCTCAGGACATCAACGTGGTAAAAAAAACCTTCATAAAAACTACATCAAAAAATAGGCTTGAGGGATGCATTGAAAACTCCACAGTAAAAATATCGCTGACCAGTCAACCACAATAAGGGCTATATAGGCTATATGTATTATTATTTAAAACATTGGAAATAATTGAGAGATCTTCGAGTAAAATTCAATTGCGTCTCAATCTAGCGCATGAAGGCGCAAAACAACCGACATTTTCTATTCCGAAAATTTCTATTTCAAACCCTTCCGACTGCAACCCCACTAGTTCCTAGATTTTCTTTTATTGAATTTTTTATATATTGAATTTTATTTTTTTTAAGTATTTTAGTATTTTAGTTAATATTTGCAACAGTCCCAAAGTGAATCGTCACCAGTATCGTCACCCTTCTCATTTTTTATTTTCTATTATTAAAAATAGCGAAATTATCAACACGTGTTACACGCCAGGTATATGACCATAAAATGACAAAACAGAGACAACTGTTAAAAGCAATAATCATATGATATTATTTCCGTATTCTCATTGGACAAAGCAACTGGCAACAATGCATATCATGAAGCTCTCTAATTTATTTTCAAGAATACGTAATAGAATAGCAGTAGAATAGAACGATAAAATACTCCCCAGCACAGATAACATCCTCAGGGAGTGTTCTAATGGTTCTATTCTTTTACGCTCAAAAATCGGCTCTCTGAAATACTGTCATTCAAACGGATGTGCACAGACACCAGTGCTGGTTTTTACCCTAAAACCCAATGTTGCCACTTGTGCCGAATCCGCAGAACTAAGGCTCTTCTTCGCATTAATGGACTCCACTCGTATCCCTAGGTATAAATAAAGTTGTAAAGATTATTATCATTATACTCTGCAACGCTGGTTCATCAGATAGTTTTCAGTAGAACTTAGCCAGCAACTTAATTGAAAAAGCAAAATAAAAACACTAAATCACCACAATACACCAAAACACTTTTACTTTTACACTGGACGCGCGTTTCGCTAACCATGATAGCATCATCAGCAGATGATTATAAAATAAAGTACAATCTACAAGTTGAGCGTTTATATACTCGCTCCGTGGGCACCGAGTGGGCGTGGCAAAATCTAGCCAACCGAGTCAGAGCCAACTGAGCGTAACAGTTAGATTTCCGCCACTAGAGTAGTAGGAACAAAGAACTTGAAGGAATTGGACGGTTGACTCTGTTCATACTATCTTTACATTTATTAATTCTGATGCTTTCATATGCATCTAATTGCCTGTAATTTGAGACTTGTTTAATTAATTTTAAATTATTAAGATCTATATCAACAATATGTTCGGCAATTAAGATCTATATCAACAATATGTTCATTATCAACAATATGTTCGGCAACGCAAGATTTATCCGGTCTACCATATCTTATCTGAGCTAAATGTTCTGATAAATGAAATGATATGGTAGACCGGATAAATCTTGCGTTGCCGAACATATTGTTGATAATGAACATTGTATAGATCTTAATAATTTAAAATTAATTAAACAAGTCTCAAATTACAGGCAATTAGATGCATATGAAAGCATCAGAATTAATAAATGTAAAGATAGTATGAACAGAGTCAACGGTCCAATTCCTTCAAGTTCTTTGTTCCTACTACTCTAGTGGCGGAAATCTAACTGTTACGCTCAGTTGGCTCTGACTCGGTTGGCTAGATTTTGCCACGCCCACTCGGTGCCCACGGAGCGAGTATATAAACGCTCAACTTGTAGATTGTACTTTAGTTTATAATCATCTGCTGATGATGCTAACATGGTTAGCGAAACGCGCGTCCAGTGTAAAAGTAAAAGTGTTTTGGTGTATTGTGGTGATTTAGTGTTTTTATTTTGCTGTGTAACACCAAAGGTTCCAACTCTCAACTGTAAACTTAATTGAGTCAGACCGGCGTGTCTATGTTTCCTTAGACCGGGTTTAAGCACATGTATGATTCCAAGAACAAATATCAGTAGATGACTAGAACTGTTTATATTCACTCCTGTTCATTTTACCATATATAAAGAAACGTGCATTTACAGTTATAGGTCCTCAAAACAACCTAATGAGTAATCAATCTTTATATCATGTAAAATTAATCTTTGTAATATGCTTTTTTGTGCTGATGTTAAGTGTAATATATTACGTCATTTATATTAAGCTATAAGCCCAAATTAAACCAAAGATAAATTTTACAGTTGTAACAAAGCGTAGGAGTGACTAGCCTAAACCGTACCACCTTGCACAAAAGTTAACTGACTGGGTCATTGTGATTATTATGAGTATTAGGTTTGATCTCTTTCAAATTGAAGACTTCACTCCGTTATTGTTTCTTATAATGAATGTATTATACGATATCTTCTTCTTCTTCTAGTGCCAAACCATTAACGGATGTTTGCGATAACATTTTCCATCGCTTCTATATTATTCCTGGCGGTGTTTATTAACGACTGTACACATCTTGTTGGCCTATCCACTGCCTAACATTCCTCAGCCAAGACATTTCATCCTTCCGATACCCCTCCGGCCTTCGATTAACAGATGCAAGAATTGATATTTGGGGTTTCGCATTATGTACCCCAGGTATGCGGTTTTTTTCTTCTTAATCAATTCAAACAATTCGCGCTGTTTGTTGACACGTTTCAGAACTTCCTCATTTGTTAACCTAAGCCATCCAAGGTATCTTCAGAATGCTGCGATATAGCCACATCTCGAAAGCCTCTAGTTTATTAATGGCAGCTGCTTTCATTATGTCTAACTTTCCATACCATAAAGGAGCACCGACCATACGTGTAATATCTTAATCTAAGGTTTAGGTCAAAATCAGAACAGACAAGTACTTTTCGGAACCTCAAGAATGCCTGCCGAGCTTGTTCGATGCGACATTTAATTTCCTTATCTGATGTCCAATCTTCGGAGAGCCAGATACCCATTACTTAAATTTATCTACCCTTTCTATGTGCCTTGTATTAAATGTTATGATGGAGTTTTTAACCACATGTGGATTTCTGGATATTATCATAAATTTAGTTTTCTTGATGTTCATGTTTAAACCTATTGCTTTACTCTGTTCTCCTACCTTGTTGACCAGTTGTTGTAGATCGTGTATATTATCTGCAATCAAGGCCGTATCGTCGGCGTAGCGGATTTATCCACACAAAGTTAACTTTGACCCCCATTTCCACGTCTTCTCGAGCCTCTTGGAAATAGCCTCTGAGTACAAATTGAATAGGAGTGGAGAGAGCACGCAACCCTATCGCACCCCCCTTCTAACTTGTGTGGGATTGGACATGGTATTGGCCAATTTTATTTGTGCTGTTTGCTTCCAGTACAAGTTTTCGATGAATTGTATGTCTTTTGGGTCTATATCAAGCCTTTTAAGTAGCTGCATTAATCTGTGGTGTTGCACGCGAGCGAATGCCTTTTCATAGTCTATGAAACACAGGCACACATCCTTTCTCTGATCGTAGCAGTTCTGGACAAGCACCTGTGTTGCAACTATCGCTTCCCTTGTACCTAACCCTTGCCTGAACCCTATTTGTGAATCGCTTATGTCCCTTTCACATTTTTTGTAAATTCTCTGGTGTATGATTTTCAGAAATATTTTAGGGTATGGCTCATCAGGCTGATAAGTCTATGATCTTTACATTTTCTGGTATTTGTCTTCTTCGGCAGGGGGATAAAAGTAGAACGCACTATTTGGGGTAGGGATCTGACTCATATATAGTGTTAAATACTTTTGTAGTGCTGTTATTTAAAGGAGTTTAAGGATTTCTGCAGGAATATCATCTGGGCCAGCCGCTTTGTTATTTTTAAAAATCGGTAATATTAGATTTTATTTATACGATATCGTTAAAGATAAATATGAATTTGTTTATTAACTATAGCGAGTTTCATTTAAAAATAACAAAGAAGAATGAACTATTCACTATTATACCTTCACCGCTAAAAATTACTTTTAAAATGTTTATAGATATAAATTAATATCTAAACTAACAATGTTAATTTATACAGAGACAATGTAAAGAAATGATAAGGAAATAAGAACGCTAAAACATATAAGATCTATTTTATCTACTTAGATTTAAACAGTTTTCAGATTTTTCAAAGAACGGTGCTGTAATTTATTAAAATAAAAAAACTAAATGACGAACGATACTAGAGAGAAATATAATTATGCCGCTATTACCAAAGAATATATAGAGAAATATGAACAGAAAGAAGAATTTCAAGAAGATTTTAGTAATGCAGGTGAGATATATTTTTATTTGACATCTGTCTGAAAATAGTCTGGGTTTGCAAAATAAAAAGTTATTAAAAAAAAATTAAGAACTTTTTGTCGGTTGGGAAAATTTGTTTTACTAGGAAAAAGCCACTGAAAAACTGGTTCCTGTGTGGATTCAACTAGTGATGAGCAAATGCCAAGACGAAGACCTAAGACAAGTCCCTTCATCACTAGATTCAACGCAATAGTGTTGTAGTTGTTAAACATAAAACATCTTTATTATTTTGTAGATTTCTCTTCCTGGTTCGAAAAATACGGACTTTTTGAGATATATTATTTTAAATCTGTAAATAGGGGGGGTACATGGGTCAAATTCGACGCTTTTAAAGGGAAATACCCTTTTCTATAGGAGATAGACGAAAACTAATATCGATGTGCGATTTTCACCATCATGTTTTTGATAAAAATTGAGCTCCAGACACCTATATTAGTTTTTGTCTATCTTCTATAGAAAAGGGTGTTTCCCTTTCATTTTTTTTTCCCGTCCAATTTGACCCACCTTGTACATTGTATATTATTTGTATTTTTAGCACCTACGATTGGATATCGTCACATGCAAGTTTTAATGTACTTTTTCCTATGTATCGTGGCATACGGTTTTCGAGTTACAATCTCTGTAGGAATAGTCGCCATGACAGATCCGACAGCTAGCAGTAATCCAGATATCCCAGTATGTATATTTGAAGAAATATATTTTCAAATATATAATATTTTTCGATTTAAATTTTTTAGACTTACCCAGAATGGAAAGATAAAAATTTGATATTATCAGCTTTCTTTTGGGGTTACGTCATTCCCCAAACTTTCGCTGGATGGGCTGCCAATAGGTTCGGTGCTAAATGGTTCCTAGTTGTTACCATGCTGGTACAATCAGTACTCGGTACTCTAATACCGCTAACAGCAGCACAGTTTGGATCTAGAGGTGTTATGATAAGCAGGGCAGTGCAAGGACTGTGTCAAGGTTTTATTTATCCAAGTTTGACGCATCTTTTAAGTCAATGGGCCCCAAGTGAGGAAAGATCCAGGTTGGGAACAGTAGTTTTTGCAGGTTAAAAAAATAATTAATTAATAAAGAACATATTTTAAACTTAAGATTTTTTAATTAGCTGGACCATGTGGAACAGTGATTGCTATTCTGGTGACTGGTCTTATTTCGGCAAGCTGGTACGGCTGGCCCCTAGCTTTTTACCTCTATGGTGGATTGGGCTTGTTGTGGTGTATCGGTATGGTGCTTTTAGGATACGATAAACCATCGTATCATCCCAAAATTAGTCATAGTGAAAAAATGTATATTGAACAAAGTTTGGGACACACTGAAGAAAAAGCAGTAATTATCAGGTTAGATTTCCAGGTAATACAACATAATTTACTTTAAATATTCTAGACTCATTCGACTCCATGGAGATCCATATTTACTTCAGTGCCAGTGTATGCATTAGTTGCCACCCAAATTGGCTTTAATTACTGCTTTTGGACCATGTTAACACAAATCCCAACTTACATGAATTTCGTCATGAATTTCAACATTAAACAGGTAAAAACCGTAATAATAAAAAAGTGCGTGTGCACTATGAGCGAATATTTGAAGTGAAACTTCTTCTTACTTCCCCCTGTCTATCCGTTTGCCCATCTCTCCGTCTGAGAACTCCATTTAGGTACCTCTATCCACGTGTCCAGTTTGGTTCCCATCGACGCATAATAAAGAAAAATCCTGATGATTTCATCCATTTAGAGGCATCGCCATCGGTTCGAAAGGCATCGAAGGCGTCATCCTGTAGCCCGTCCCCAATTATGCCTAGATCCGTTAGTCCCACCCTGATGAATATGTAAACGAAACGTCGCATCCAACTTCGCAGGATGGGACCGTATGCACCGTCGCTCACATAGCCTACCCACCAAATTTGGTAGCGATCGGACATCAATTTTTGACGTTTGTTACGTCAAAACTAACTATCACTGTGACACGTGTCGTACATGGTCAAGTTGGCTTTGGTCCAATCTATCGACATACCAAATTCCATTTAAATCGGACGATTCTTTGATTTGATTCGTTGATAATTTCGATTCGAAGCGCACGAAATCTTGTCAAAATATCATGAAAAATAGGGCTTCATCTACATTCCGTATTTCTGCCCCCTAGCTCACATAGGGCCCGAGTTACGACCCTCCGTCTTAGCCTCCGATCGTTACTACCTTTCCTAACGCCTCTCGTATGTCACGGCCTTGAATTATTACTCCCATCGCTCGTAAAGAAGTTTCGCTTGAAAAAGTTAAACCCAGTACATCAACGGGTTTATAACAGACATAACTGCTCAAATTATTGTATTTTTTTTTTATTCTGACGACTGGAGCAGATAATCCTTCTGAAACGTTAAGCATTTTTGTCGGTTAGGCAAATTTGTTTTACAGTAAAATACCAGTGACAAGCTGTTTTCCTTTGCGTTCAATGCATTGATGTTTACAAAAAAATATCTTTTTTATTTTGTCGATTTTCTTCTTCTGGTAAAAACCCTAGAATTCTTTTCAATATATTTTTGAAGCGAAATTTCTTTACGCGCAATGGGAGCAAGAAAAGACCGCGACACACGACCTCACGTAAGAAAAAGTGGTAACGATCTTGGGGCGTCGTAACTCGAGCCCTATGTGAGCTAGTGGACTAAAGACTGGGAAAAGTTCCATCTTTTCATAATATTTTGACGAAGTTTCGTGCACTACCAAACCCCATCATCTTCGATAGATTACACCAAAGGCCAACTTGTCCGTGTACGATACGTGTCACTGTGACAGTTTTGACATAAGGAACGTCAAAAATTGCTGTCGTCCGATCGCGACCAAATTTAGTGGGTAGGCAATGTGAGCGACGGTGCACACGGTCCCACAAACAAGTTGGATACGACGTTTCATTTACATCATCATCAGGCCGGAACTAAGGATTTGATATTGAAGAAAAATGTGGGTCGGTTTTGGTATAATTGGGCACGGACTATTGGATGACGCCCTGGGCGTCTCGAACCTTTAAATAAACGAAATCATCAGCATTTTCTTAATTATGGGTCGATTGGAACCGAATTCGGCACGTGGATAGAGGTACCCGAATAGAGTCCTCAGGTGGACAGATGGACACATAGACAGATGGAAGTAAGAAGAAGTTTAACTTCAAATATGCGCACATAGTGCACACAGAATTTTTTTTTCAGTTGAATTAACTCTGCCTTTACTTAATGGAAAATAAGAATTTAAATAAAACAACTCTCCACTATATGGAAACAATTTAAATTAACGTATTATCGCTATTTTTGCTAAAAAGAACAAATCGGATGTATATATAGATTAAAATGTCCAGACGGTCCAAAGAACTATACAGGGTGGTCCGAACTGTATTCCGGAAACTTTGGCAGCATATTCTGCAGATAAAAATAAGCAAAAATGTTCATATAAATGTATGTCCTAAAATGCTTGGTTTCGGAGATACAGGGTGTAGAAGTTTCATTTTTATTTCAATTATTTCCAAATAATTCCTGAAGTAACGTAAATATTTGGATAAAAATTGGTGTCTGGGAGTTTTTTGACACGAGAAATTTGATTTTGATGTTATTATGACTCCTATTTTTAGAGAGCACCACCTACATGTGTTTTAACTGTTTTGGAGAGTAATAACTTTTCGTCCGTACCTGTATAAAACTACTGAGTGAAAAAATATACACAAATTTTTACGTCAAAAATGTCTCTCGGTAAAAGTCGCTATGAACAACCATTCTCAAGATATTTAGAATGGAAATAGTCAATACATGTCATTATTGACAAAAAATAAGCTTGTTGAATATACAGATATTTGACTGAAATGATAAATTTGGGAACTTTTAATTTTTTTTAAATTAATCTTAAATTTTTCTGATCATATTTTTTTAATCAGTTGTTTCACCGTTATCACGGACGAAAAGTTATTACTCTTCAAAACAGTTAAAAATATGTAGGTGGCGCCCTCTGCAAGTAGGAGTCATATTGACATGAAAATCAAATTTGTCATGTCAAAAAACTCCCAGACACCAATTTTCATCCAAATATTTACGTTACTTCAGAAATTATTTGGAAAAAATCGAAATAAAGATGAAACTTCTACACCCTGTATCTCCGGAACCAAGTATTTTAGGACATACATTTATACGAACTTCTTTACATATTTTTATCTGCAGATTATGTTGTTGAAGTTTCCGGAATACAGTTCGGACCACCCTGTATAGGACAAAGAGGTAGAAGTTTTTCAAAAAGAATAAATGAGCATATTTTAAATTTTACACCTAAAAACAGACTCCGCTAACAATTATTTAATTTAAAATTACCAGAATTTTTTTACGCAGATTTCCATATATTGCAACTACCGTATGATCGAAAAAAAAACGGCGTCCAGTTCGCTGGGAAATGCCGATCGATGACATTTCCCATATAAATTTACATACCGGGTATGCGTCTCGAAAGTGGCTCACCGCTATAACTTTTTTATTTTTTCAGATACAAAAACGAGATTTGGGATGTTAGTATATGACATAAATTAGGATTAATCATAGATAAATGAAACAAGTTTAGATTGGAAAGTGCCCATAAGGACAATGTAAACACTATTTGGCGCTATTCTTGCAACGGTCGCGACCCAAAACTTTTGAAAATTTCGGAGCGGTTCGGCTTTTTCCGGAATTATATCGCCAAATATTGTTTATTCAAATTTATTATTATTTTCGTTTAATTTTATAAATAAAATACAGTGTGTTGCATACAAGAAACTTTATTTTATGTAAGGACGCATGTATGAAATAACTATGAAACATTGGAAACCGACGTTATGCCACGATCCACGATGATTTTTGCAGTTCAGAGTTCACAGCACAGCTTTTTAAGTTTTTAATGCCAATTTTTCACAATTATCACCGGTTGGAGTAAATGAAACTTGAATTAAACTCACAAGATAGCAATAATTACTTTGAAAATGGACGCTATTCGGAATTTCTTTAATGAGAGCGGTTTAGATTTTGAAAGATTATTATGATTTTTGCAGATTCTGACTTTGACAAGAGAAAATCATGGTAGAAAATTATTTCTGTTTTTGTTTGCCGTTGTTCTTAGCGACCGCTAAAGAAGTTTCTGAGGGCTTATGATCAAGAAAAATCACAGATCTTCCTGGGTCTGAGTAAGAACAATCTTCGGATTGTCACGGGGTTTTTAACAGGACACTGTCTCCTCAATGAACACCTCAGTAGATTGAAACTAAGAAGAAACGGCAAATGCAGATTCTGTGGGGAAGATGGTGAAACACCAGTACACCTCATCACTGAGTGCGCCGAGACGACAACCATTCGTGCCATGAATTTTGGTACGACTGATATTGGAGATGGAGAACTACCCTCTATAAAACCGTCCCAGATACTGGCTTTTGTCAAAGCCCTGGGACTGTATGATGAGTTATGATTCAAGAAAGGGGGACACAATGGATCTGTAAGGTCGAAGTGATTAACCCCCCTCCCACTCATTCTAAATTCATTCTAAAAAAAATTCTAGCGACCGCTATAGCAGCGCCAGATCTCGTATAACGGTCGCGACCCAAAATAATTTCGCGACCTAAAATTTTTACGGGCTTTCCAATCTAAACTTGTTGCATTTATCTATGGGATTAATTGACGTACTCAATTGTTTTTGGTCACTATCTGTTTCACCGGAAATGACTACAACTTTTGATTTTTAAATGGCACCTTCAGTATTTTTTTACCTTATTCGATAGAAAATGACATTCTGAATAGAATGACATATCATATGTCAACTTTTGACATTCTCGCTTAATAAAAAATCGTGTTTTAAAATCCAATCTAGAGTGCCATGCAGGGTGCCATGGCTATGTTAAAAACACTAATTCTTAAACCAGGAGCCTTAGAAAATACCGAGGGTACCATTTAAAAATCAAAAGTTGTAGTCATTTCCGGTGAAACAGGAAGTGACCTAAAACAATTGCATACGTCAATCAATCCTAATTTATGTCATATACTAACATACTAAATCTCGTTTTTTCAACTGAAAAATAAAAAGTTATTGTGAGCCACTTTTGAGACGCACCCGGTATAAAATGACAGCGATCTTCATTTAATAGACATCGCGGACGCCGTTTTTTCTGGATCACACAGTATATTGCTTACTGAAAAAGAGATGTCAAGTTAGACTGCCTAGAATCTAGAATCCTTTGAGATAAATAAACTTTAAAATTCCAATGAAATTCCAACTGCAGATCAGGCGTCAATAATAAAAGCCCTTTGTTGAGTCTATTTTAAAACATCTTTTGAGTTTGGAAAAGTCCATAGTAATAAAATAGTAGGTAGTGGTAGTAGGAATGTGTCATTCTTAAGAAAGCCCCCCCCCCCCTACTGTATTAGCACATTTCAACAATTTGTTAATTTAAATTGTTTCAATATACTGGAATTTATGTAAGTATCAGTTGTTTTGATTTTATGTTTGTTTATTTTCAAATTACCTTTTCTGCAGAACAGTCTACTATCATCTCTACCATATTTGACTTTGTGGCTGTTAAGTTTTGTAATGGGTTTCTTGTCAGATGCCATGATAAATAAAGGTATTTTGTCTAGAACCATCACTAGAAAAATATTTAATTCAATTGGTAAGTGAGACACGATGTATAAACTACACGACCAAAGATCATTTTCATTATAGGTTTATTTATACCAGCAGCGGCACTGATTGTTTTAAGTTACACTCAACCAGATGAATACGTCAGAGGAGTAGTATTGCTGGTAATAGCTGTAGGGTTTAGTTCTGCCTGTTTCTCTGGATGGGCTGTGAATCCCATGGACCTATCACCTAACCATGCAGGGACCTTGATGGGTCTCACGAATGGATTTGCTCAGTGTACGGGAGCGATTGCTCCAATAGTGATTCAGTTCTTGGTAACAGAGGAGGTATGAGACTAAATAAAATTTAAGTTGTTAGGTCTAGAATGTATTAATGCATTTTTTAGAGAAATCCCTTACAATGGCGCACTGTGTTCCTTATAACGGCATTTTTAAATATATCAACAGGTATTATTTTTGACATATTTGGTTCTGGTAAAGTACAGTCTTGGAATGACGAAGAAAGAGAAGATAAAGAGAAATCTTAATATTTTGTAATAATATTTATTAAAATTAATTGTAAGTTAATTTAATAATTTGAAATAATTATATTTTTGTATTTTGTATTTGTATTAAAAAATCTCGTAAATTCTAATTAACTAAAAATTTCCTACAATTAAAATGTAAAAACAAGTAGTATGGAAATGATTTTTTATGTATGACTTTGTTGTCATTTTTATTTTTTCACCCATTAATAGCTAAATTAAAAATTAATAAAACAAATTCTGGTTAGTTACACTAATATCTCGAGAATGGCTGGACCGGTTTTAATGATCTTTGATTTGTTATCTCCACTCCGAATAGCAGTGTAACTATTAAATATCGAAAAAACACAGAAAATTTACATTTACATAATTGACAGCTCACGTCAGGCACGCTTATACCGTATAATAAAAAAAGTGTCTAATATGGCTGGGGAATGACATTCAATGATAATTTTGGCCAGTTCAACCTCTAGCAGTCATTTACTAAAAGTCAATATAAAACTTCTCAAAAATTGACATTCATAAAAAATACACACGACACTAATAAAACAATGTTATGTTCGAGTTTAAAGTATGTTCGAAGTAATGACGTCTAGACCTTGCCAAAATTATCATCGATTGTCATTGGCAAAAAACGGCGTCACAGACGGCCGTGTGACGCCGTTTTTTTTCGATGGTATGCTAACGTTTTTGTAACTGAGGTCCATTGCAAATCAGTAACATACTCGACATTATAGAATAGAAATTCAACGGAAGATAGTGGGAAATTAGCATATTCAAATCTGGAAAGATTAAAATATATAGAAAATAATATACAGGGTGGTCCGAACTCTATTCGGGAAACTTCAACAGCATATTTTGCAGATAAAATTAAGTAAAAAAGTTCGTATAAATGTGTCCTAAAATGCTTAGTTTTTGAGATACAGGGTGTATAAGTTTCATTTTTATTTCGATTTTTTCCCATTAATTTCTGCAGTAGTGTCAAATATTTGGATAAAAATTCGTGTCTAGGAGTTTTTTGGCATGAGAAATTTGACTTTGAGATCAATATAACTCCTACTTATAGAGGGTGCCACCTACATATTTTAACTGGTTTGAAGTTGAAGAGTAATAACTTTTCGTCCATACCTGTATAAAACCACTGAGTGAAAAAATATACATTTCCGTGATATTTTAGAAATGTATCTCTGTAAAAATTGCTACAAACAACCATTCCCACGATTTTAGGAATTGAAATAGTCAATACATTACATGTTATTATTGACAAAAACTAAACATGTTGGGTAGATAGTTATTTGACTGAAATGATAAATTGGGGAACTTTTTACTTTTTTTAATGATTTTAAGGTTTTAAGGTCTAATAACTAATAACTTTCTTGTATACCGAACAGCTCTAATATGGCAAGCTGTACCTTACTACTCCCAAGGCCTTAAACGCCATATACGGGAGCTATTATTATATTATGAAGGTCTAATAACTATTTAGTCAGCATCTTTAATTTATATCAACGATGAACAAAGTCAAAAATCAAGAGAAATGTATATTTTTTTACACAGTAGTTCTTTTAAGGTACGGACGATACATTACTACACTTCAAACGAGTTAAAAAATATGTAGGGGAAGTCCGGGCAAAGTGAATAGCTTAAGATTGTTTTTTTGGCGTAGGTATATGTTAAATTCTTAAACTCATCTCGAGTTAATCCAAAAAACACGGAATCCATGTCTTTGAGATAGGTCCTTAACTCTATTTCCTGATCTTCGCTGAAAACTGGGCGGAATCTGCCGAGTTTTGGAGTAACGTTACCACTTTTGACGTGTCTGTACAAAGTCGCATAAGCCATACCATATTTCTTAGCTGTGCCCTTCACCGATTCTCCGGCTTTGCATAAATTTATAGCCGTCCGCATAACATCTTTATCCCAAGAGCCTTGATTAGTTTTTTTTTTATATTTATGTACCATCTGCAACAAAATATGAGCTTTGTAATACCGAATCTAAATAATCGTAAAAACCGGGCAAAGTGGATACCATATCCGCTTTGCCCTATTCACTTTTTAAGGTTAAGTCAATTCATAAGAAAACTATTGATTTCAATTCTCCGTTCGACATATTATAATAAAGCTCTTTGACACGTAATAGAACTGTAATACGCCCAATAGTAATAAACAAATAATATAGAAAATATCATCAAAATACTTACCTCGAAATATTAGAAATTATTTTTCGAAAACACAGTTTGCCGTTCTGCGGACGCCGCATGGCCTGCTCTCCCACTTAGGTGTTTGCCGCGTATTGAGCAAAGACAGACGAGCGTTGCTATGTCACGTGATTGATGCCAAACGAATAGTTTGAGAATAGTGGGGGATATTCGCTTTGCCCGGGGTGTTCACTTTGCCCGGGCTTCCCCTAAGTGGCGCCCTAGAAGTCATATTGACATCACAATCAAATCTCTCATGTCAAAAAACTCATAGTCACGAATTTTCATCCAAATATTGACGTTACTTCAGAAATTATGTAGAAAAAATCGAAATAAAAATGACACCTACACCCGGTATCTCTGAAACTAAGCATTTTAGGAAATACATTTATACGAACTTTTTTACTTACTATGTTTGTAATTTATTTAAAGTAAACTACTTATTACTATGATACCTTTTAAACTGAATTTGTATTTATAATATTTAATATTGTGTATCTGTATAAAAAATCTCGTATAATATTACCCTTGCTAATGATGGGATCTTCAGACTTTAGTTGAATAAATATACTTATTTGATTCTCTATTGCGTGCATAGGTTTTAGCATAATAATAGTCATCTAATTAAATGTTCCTAATACATATAGTATAACCTGTTGAGTCTGAGTCACTAACGGCAACTTCAATGAGATGATTCTAATAATATGCAAATAAGTTACACTAAGCGTTTTTTTGTAGCATGAATTAGAAAGGAGGGACAAACTAATTTTAACTGAAATTGTGTAACATATTTATAATATATTTCACCCAGAGTCATAAATAATCATGGGACTTTATGAAATTTAACTTAATTTTTCGACAAATACAAAGACTATTTGCCCATGGGTGCTGAAACAAAACCTGCCTATTTTTTCAGAAGGGACAAATTTCTAATAATGCAATAATGAATCGTTTATACAGGGTGGCGCCTCTCATACGCCGCGGAGGTTCCAAGGAGAACGACAGTTTGTATTGAAATGCAATTTTGTGAGCCTATGTAGGTTAATTCAGAGCACTTTTTAAAAATATAGAGCGTTCTACAGGGTGTTCTCAAAAAAAGTTACATATCAAAGTTGTGTTTTTTGTAATGGAACACCCTATATATTAATTGATTTCCGGATTCTGGGAGAAAAATAAAAGTGAGTTTTATAAGAGAAGTATATGACTAAAATGTAAGGTTTTTGACATATTTAACATTTTCTAGAAATAAAGAACAATTTTAAAATTATAATAAAAGCGACCAAAATTGGAATTTATCCGGTATAGCCTAATATGTAATTAAATTAACTATTGTACTTTAAATCAAATTAAAACTTGATCCAAAAAGTTATACAGGGTGAGACAAAATTAATATTGAACATTGGTCACCTTTAAAAGCATGTTACTCTCTTCAATTCAATGAGGAGTTCATGTCTCTTCAAAATACTATTAAGGTTGCCTACCCCTTAAACAAAGATTTTCCTAGATATTTTCATTTACATGATTTGATCTGAGTAGATCTTTATTATTTGATAAAATCTAGGTGGCTGTGATATGTTTGACGTTACTTCAACATAGCTGTCTAATTAGTCCAACTTTAACGACTAGTTATCATTTTCTGTCAGTTAAAACAAAAAAATTTCCCAGAAATTTGTCAAAAATGCAAACTTATCCTACATCAGAAAGAATTGATATGATTCTATTACTTAATGAATGCAGTGTGCATTCACCAATTAATAGAATACTTAAATGCTCCTTATTTTATCTAGTCTGATTTTTTTATGGGGATATGTTAAAGACAGTGTTTACGAAACTCGACCAACTATTGTAGCTGCTTTTCTAGGTAAAACCCCAAATATGCCTTTTAAAATAAAAAGATCCTTTTGAATTTTGAAAGACAATCATTTTATGCAGTTAACAGGAAAGGAAGCATTTTGAGCATTTAATTTCATCTAGCTAATTTTTGGTTGTGATAATTATAGGTTTATATCTAGTTTTAATTTTGTAATAATTAAAATATGTTTTAAACGTGTATCTTTTTATTACCGTTGAGTATTTTACTCTTCATTCTTTAATTTTTGTTAAATTAACAAAAAGTATATCACAGCCACCTCTAGATTTTTTCAAATAATAAAGATTTACTGACGCAAAATCATAAAAATTAAAATATCTGGGAAAATCTTTGTCTGAGGGGTAGGCAACCTTAATAATATTTTGAAGATATATAAATTCCCCATTGAACACCGGAAAAATATACTGGGTGTTCCATTTTAAATAAAGGAGTAACTTGCTTTTAAAAGTGACTAATGTTCCATATTAATTTTGTCTCACCCTGTATAACTTTTCGGGTCAAATTTCAATTTGGTTTATACAGAGTCAACTAAAATTTAGGTAGCTGTTATCGAAATTTAAAATTTACTCTTCATTTTCACAAAATGTGAAATATGTCAAAATCCTTAGATTTTAGGTATATGCTTCTTTAATAAAACTCATCTTTATTTTTTATCTAGAATCCGAAAATCAATTAATATATAGGGTGTTCCATAAGAAAAAACACAACTTTTTTTTGGAGACACCCTGTATAATTCTATATATTTTTATAAAATGCTTTCACTTAACCTACATATGCTGCCAAAATTTCATTTCGATATAAACTACCGTTTTTCTTGGAGCTTCCGCGGCGTATGAGAGGCGCCACCCTGTACATGGTCCGGCAATAGTGCATCGGGGATCTATAGCTCCTAGAATAAAAAAACTTAAGAATTTTGTTTAAGCGCAGATCTAAAGCATGTTCTAGGATGTATTCCAGGAAAATATGTTAACTTCTATAGGGTGGCTCAAAAAGGTGTGAGTGGATCGCGAT